CAGTCATCGAATGTATTCTTACCGCTATCTTGGGATTGTGCGCCCGTCTCCTCTTCTTTGAGTCAGTTCCTCTCCTCCATGAACAGAAACCCGCAGAGTCCCGAACGCTCCAGTGGAGCGAACCGCTCGTTGATATCGGCAGTTTGTTGTTGGAGTTGACGAGACGATCCACTGAGCGCTTTCAGCAGCTTCTTCCCGTCTGTCTGCGGACTGGCTGAAAGTTGGTGACCGCGGAGAGGAGTTGAAGGCGAGTTGAACGCGAGACGTCGTCCCGCCATTATTCACGAAGCAGCAAAAACCAAACAAAGGAACTGGAGATACAGTTCTTCTGAATATAGTAACACACACGGGTCTGTTTGTATGCTCGTCTTGCAAGTACTGCTGTATCAGTCATGCCTATGACCTCACACGTGATTGGACGAGGAGTCTAATGGTCCTCCAATCACATACGAGCTTATTGTTATACGGAAGGACCAGTATTATAGGAAGACAAATGGTTGTTTTGGTGTCAGCAGAACGACTTTCCCTAGAAAACTGTACAGTGGTGCCTCTTTCTCCATTCCACCAGACACTCTTGAGTCTGACAGACATGCAATGTTGACAATGTATCATCAGATGTACCCTTGTGTCACTGAGGTTGAATGTTTTGCCATGACATGTAAACGGGTAACATATATGAATGTAACTTACTCAATCGATAGATGCAGAGCCGAAAGGTCAGCCTATGTTCATGCTAAGTGGTGTGGAAACACTAACAGTTTTGAGGAACCCGTCCTTGACCCTCTAGCTGAACTACGACCAGCCATTATAAAGCAGTTTATAGTTGTTAATGTTGTGTCAAAGGGTACGGCATTTAAACATGTTCTTGCACAAGTTTCCTGGCTTCATCTCCACCCGGACAGACATTTTTACGGAAAGCCAATAGAAGTTTGGGGCTTGCAGGGAACAGACACGTCATACCCAGCATCATTTCTGCCAGTTGAGCGCATTGCTAGAAGATGTGTGGTTAATACATCCTGTGTGCATTTAAGTAAGACCAAAGAAAAGGTCACTGTAGTCCTGCCACTATGCACTGTAGTTGAGCTCTAGGAGACTGATCTCTGCAGACCCCTCATGCTGATTCAAATGTTGTTTGCATGGAATGCTCATTTTACCTTGATTAAAACTAATTTTTTAAGTTATTTTGTGTATCTTTTTTACATAACATTTGCCATTGCTAATGGCGTACACAGTAATCTAGCATATTTGAATTAAATAAATCAATTCAAGCTAAAATGTAAGAGTCTATAAATAGGCTACCGAGCCTGATCTATTTGTACCAGAGATTTTCTTACCTTTTAAAAAAATGTCACCTGGGCTAAAACTCCCTCTGCGACCCTGATTTGCATTTGTATAGCTCACAGCATTTTCATTTACATGTCAAAGCCTCCCCTAGAATTAGGAGGAGGCGAGTCATGGGGGGACAACTCCCAAGGGAGGCCCACATCAATTTCTGACAATTTACGGCAGTTTTCGGCGTTGTCCGCAAATTGCCGCAAACCTGAAATTCCACGACAATTTACAGTGCCGCATACTGCCGAAAATCCCACTTTTCATGCAGTGTAAGGTTTCTTGTTTGGGCCTCTAGCAGACTGACAGATGCAGCCCAGAGCAGCAGGTTCAGAACCGCGTCCCAGAAGGCAGAAGTGAGCAACGTGCTCTTCAGTTTTAGTTTCAAGATTTAGAAGCAAAATATTCTTTGTATCGCGTTATGTCTTTTGCCAATAAAAATAACGACATATTTCTTGTTCGTCATTGACCATGAACAAAGCTTTTCAAAACCATCGATCCTGATATTATTCTAATTATATTAATGGATCAATTTTTTTTTTTTTTTTTTTTTTTTTTACAATGTTTTATTCGGCTGATTTAGTTATATTTGTTTCATCAACATTTATACGTTTGCAGATTCGCGGTATTTCCGTCCTTTAGCTACACATGTTTAAAAATAAAAATACCTTTCCTTCACTTATATGGGATTATTGATCAAATAAATAATACAATATTTTAATAACAGAACTTCTGTTCCATCTCTAATACTGTCAGACATGTATGAGTATAATGGAGGCTATCATTTAGTTCTTGAGTAATTTGATGTTTAAATAAAAAAACGTGCTTAACGATTTATTGGAAAAACCTCTAAGTTTCCACTCTTAAGTATCTTTATTCTCTCGTCGTAGACTTTATTTATTTCTGCAACAGTGCCATGTTTGTTTCCTCACCGCAAGATAAATAGGCAGTGAAATGGTTCTGATCTTCTTGGTGTATTAGTTACAACTAGAGTCTGCCTGTGGTTTCTGTGGCAGGGTTTAGTCCTGCGCTTTTGATTAATCTTAGCTCAATTTATTGGATAAACAATGTTTGTGGAATAATCCTTTTCCGTGTTGTTGCTCAGCATTCACATGGTTTACTGAACCTTGTAAACACACAAGTTTATATTCAACCTTAAAATGTTTACTCCAGCAGCCTTGTTGTGGTTCACCGTGGACTCGGCCGACCGACATGTGTTTGCCTCTCTTTTAGATATTTATTTTTTTACCAGTATAACGACGGAACCCGTCTGAGGACAGGACGATCCGTCTCTTCTGTGTTAGTTGTGAAGGAGTGAACTCCTGATTTGAAGGTGCAGATTAAAGATGAACGCAGTTCTTAATGAACTCCTCCAGTTGTTGTCCATCTGTTGGTGGGGCGGCACTGAGGCTGTGCCCTCCGCTCTGCTTTAATTAAATTGTCCGGCCTATGAAGTGCAATTTGGCTGTTCTGCTGGTATGTTGTCAGGTCATCACCAAATGCTGTTTCCCCTTTGCTCTGAAAGTCAACTTTGTTGCACAGCAAGAAGATCAACACTTTCAGAGCTGTTTTGCAAAACAAACCTTTACTTTAAACGTGTTTTTGGCGAGACGTGCGTCCTCACAGTAAGATTTCGTGCTTGCTTTTGTCTTTTTTTTTTTTTCTGTCGACCTTTGCATGCATAGACCACCTGAAGATAGTATGTCAGGTAGTTTGAACCTAATGTTCTTCACTCGTATTGTTCGTATTGTTCTGTCATCTCAACAGATAAATCTGTCAGCGGGGCAGAAAAGTCACCGACTAGCCAAGAAACCCAGCCAGGACCGGGCAGGCCCCGGTTACCCCCTTTAATACCGTTTGATAAGCTGCTATGAAAGAGCTGCCTCTTCTCATTTAGCCTAGAAGCTTTTAGGTAGGTGTGTTGATGGGAGGGTTAAGAGAGGGGTTAAGCCAAGCTCAGTGACTGAGACCCTATTGATTAGGCAGGGAAACTGCTGGCTGCGTACAGAAATACTGTCATAATGAAGTCTTTTCACAAACCCTGTGGAGACTTTTTAGACCGTCTTTGGTGTGTTTAAAAATGTTTTGTGTGTGGGTGTCTGTGTGTGTGTGTGTGTGTGTGTGGGGAACTATGTGCGACACCTGAATCGAGAAGCAGTTGTCTCTGCAGCGGGAATGAATGACAGATGAAGAGTTTATCTGTAATTTAGTAAAGAACATCTCCCTCGATGTGTTCAGGCTTGTTGGCGACTTCCCATGCGTGGAACAAAAGCCCTGTGAAGTGGCTGGATGTTTTTGTGCTGTCACGGCGCTGAGGAGCCCGTAACCTCATTAAGTGTAGGAGTGACCTGCAGTGTTACGCGGCACCTCTGCAGGTTGCGGGAAGAAGGCCCCTCCATCAGCAGCTCGCCTCCAGCTCCTTTCCTCCCATGTTGAAGGCACAAAGAAGAACACGCCGGATAGTCGGCGCTCGCTGCCGTCTTTGTACTTGTTGATTTATAAGACACTGTGGCAACAGCATCTGACCTGCTGCCAATTACTCTATCATCACAGGAGCACAGGACCTAACTACTTACATGTGTTCATAAATCTCAAGTACCGGACTGACTTGTTTTCCCCCTTACTTTAGTGGTTTAATTTTTTCTTTAAAACCAACATAAACCAATGGACTTAACCAACAAGGGATAGTAATGATTACATAGTAGCATGACATTGTCCTCTTTTTTTATTTTTTAGACATTAAGTATAATCCTTAGGTGACTTTATTCACAAATAGTCCACATGACTGATTCAAATAATGCCTTTGCCTGATGTTCACCTCTGAAAATGAATCTTCATGTTTTGTAAATAATGTATTCAATGACTTATCCTTCTCACTGTTGACCCCTCGTGTATATCTGATAAACCTTTGTCTGCATGCAGTCTGCAGCCTAATGTTAAACGGGCACCACAAGGAGAAAAGCAGAATTTGAGAAGGCTATTAGAGCCGAAGCACCACTCTGACATTGGACCATTTAGCTAAACACACTGAAACGATGTTTTAAGAAAAGTCAGTACAGTAAACGTTTAGATCTAAAGTAAGTAGAACTGTTAGAGGAGCTCTTTTGCAGGCATGTTAGGCAGGATAGTGTTGAAGGGTGAACAGTTCAAGTCTCTGAAAAGGATCACCAAGCTCTTTAATCCATGTAAATGCCGACGCAAAAGTTGAAATAATGTATATGCTGCTGCTTTATTACCCCAGAACGCTTGATTATGACAAGAGATGTTTTTTTTCAGTAAGCCATCCGATTAGAGTGATTGTCTTCATTTTAGTTCTCTAATTGCCTCCTCCTTTTTTTGGCCATTTGACATTTTCTCCGTTTCACTTAGTCTGTGGTCATCCATTGAGACCACCCCTGTGCTAGCCGGAGCCTGCAGAGCATTTTCCTTCCACTGAAACTCCGCTGTTGTAGGGCGGAGTCGGGTTGTGCGCTTTTGAGATTAAACAGGAATACTTTTGGGATCACTTTGTTTTAGGTTTCTATCCCTTGCCCCTGTTGGAGAAAGAGCAGTTCTCTCCCTGGTGAGAGCAATGTAATCCCCCGTCCAGCCTGTGGCTTGTTGTCCCCTGACTGTACCTCTGTTTCCCCATCATCTCTCCCCCCCCTCCCTCTCTATCCTTGCCTCAACAGAACAATGCAGACCAAGTGGCCTTCCAAGTAGGCGGCGGCCTGACGGCTCTAGAACAAATTCTGCAGGTCGTCGCTGCTTCCTCTACACCCAACGCAGTTCCTCGTATTCCTCTCAAGTGAGTGCTGTTACCAATACTTTTTAATTGACGCAATGATGCACAGCAGAGAATGTATGAAAGTAAATGGTCTGCTAGGATACTTTTCCATGATCTTAACACACAACTCCAAAAGAATACAAATAAAATATATTGCTCGGCCCTTAAGTTCATTATAATGACCTAATCAAGGTTCTGTTTCAAGCCAGCAGGGTGAGCTGTCTCTTTAGCTTATAAACGAGACCTTTTGATTCTGAACCTCTGACCAGTTGTTCTTTAGATCAGTTGTGACATTAAGCTGTGAGTGGATGTGTGTCCCCTTGACTATGTGTGTGTCTAAATTTAGTGTCATTGCAGGGATGGAAACAGGTGAGGAGTGAGGTTCTGCATTGACAAATGTTCCTTGTGATTTTGTGTTTGTGAGTAATCTTATAATGAACAGCACCTGCAACACGACCCCACAAAAAATACAAACGTATGATCACATCTTCTCTTTAGTTAAATGTTGACCCATAGTGTTTATTTCATGAATTTTATTTTAATTATCATAGATAGATAAACACATTTTGCCACAGTTAAAAGTACAGGTACACTAAGCACTGCTTATTGTCAGGCTTCTCCGAGCTATTTTTTCACAAAGCCTCAGATAGTTGTTAGTCCTTCCCAGCAAATTATATTCAAATATCCGTTCTGTGACTTTACTGACAACAGACTTCTTTATTTCTACTTTTTGCAATTGCTCAAAGTGAGTGAGCGAGTCTCAACCAACCAACTTTATGTTACTTTAAAACTGCATCTTAATAAATATCCTCAATGTATTATTGAGTAACACCGCTGCCCTTTTGGGAATTGAGAGCTTTTCCAGTTACGTACTTTGTGCTCATTCTTTTCTTTCGAAGCACAAAAACCATGTGTGTTCCATCTATCATTTAAAGTGCGGAGTATTTTTGATTGGTGGGTCTGGTGTTTGCATGGCCTGCCAGTAGATAACCTCAGAGAGGCTGCCGTGCTCACTAGTGGGACTCTGTAATGGACTCGAATGGCCTTGCACTCCCATTCATTAGCATTTACTGGTCTCTGAATCTCAGCTAATGGACAAATGCTTCTTATATTTATAAGGCTTTTAAAGGGCATCACATGCATATTGATTTTTTTTTCTTCTACTCCCTCTTCTTCAATCATTGTAATCTGAGGGAATTTCTATGAGACTTCTGAATTTAAAGAAATGTTATTATCTTAAATGGAACGTCTTCTGGCACAAAGCGTTTGTTTTGGACATCCGTGGATGTCGCTGTGTTAGCCGAAGTTCAGGCAGCATCTTCTTGTCACGTTGTGGTGATGGAACAGGAGGTGGAGATCCTCCACTTGATTTTCTATCCTCTGCACACCAGCCCATCCAGCGGGGGAGTGAGTTCTAGATCGCTATGAATGAATGGTCTTGATCCAAACCTTTCCCCCATGGCTAGACGGGTTTCTCTGCAGAAGCCGAGAATGGGATTAACAGTAGTCACACTACGGTGTATTTAAGGCCTTATAGGTTATTTCAGTAGCTTGTTTAAAACCAGCTCGATTTTTTCATGTTTTGTAAACCTTGTAAAGTGCAGAAGAGGTCACGCTTTGACCTTGCGATGCACCTCAGTCAGTCCAGCGTAGTTGGGAGTGGGTGACGAGATGCAACACAAGGACGAAGCCCGTCTGTCTACTTATCACTATCAATCATCTGGATGGCTGTGTGGCCTAATGGGCTGCTGTGTAGACGCTCGCCCCAGAGTGCGCTACATTATCTGTTTACAGCAATGCTGCCGTATTGATCACCTCCTCCTACCAGATAAGCTGAGTGATTCACAAAAAATAGGCGGCTGCGGAGATGCTCCTGCCATATCTCCCCCCGGGGAGGCTGATTCCATATTGTTACTATTACATTAATGAGCTAATTCCTCTGCGAGGCTCCGCTAATGTCCTGGTGTAACTCCGTGGTCGCTGGAATGTCTGGATCAGGGTTTATTCTGCCCCGGATTCTTCACACATTGCACAATGACATCTGAAATGTTTGCATGCATCTCATTGATTTTACTGTACCGTAATTCTATTATTTAATTATCTTTTCATTAAGTTAATCATTTGTCCCACAATTCTTAATTCATGGCTTTAATGAGCTTAAATAACGTAACTTCACAGTTAGATATTTATATCCATCTCTTAAAAAGAAGACTGCTACCCTCTGCCTGCACACAACGTATGCTTTTGAACACTGAATAGCAAACACGACAGAATAAACTTCTGTAATAACATGGGGAGGTAAAATCGTATTTAAAAGTAATGTATGTTGACAATTTCCATTGATCGGAAAAGGATTAGCGGGACTTTGAAGGTAACTTAAACAGGTGAACTACTGTGAAAGGTTTAGGAGTCTTTGTGTTAACTCAATTTGTATTTCCACCACTGTCTCACATGACCTGGTGTATCCTGTGAAATCAGACCTGGTACCTGTGGTTTTATTTCAGGATGTTTACCACCATTTACGAGAGAAAGAGAGAGAGAGCGAGAGTGTGAGTGTGTGTGTGTGTTGCATTTCTATAGAGTCCAGTATATGCGAGGAAATTGTTTGGATGTGTTTATTAAAGGCTGATCCAGTATTTCTAGCAAAGCCGCAAATTCATTAGGCCTTTTTTGTAAAAAAAACACAAAAAAACAACTTGTTTTCGTTATATTAATCTGTTGATATACAGAGCTTTGACTGCTGCCTTTTTGCTAGTGTCGGTTCCTGCTACAGTGTAAATGAAAGACAGAGCAAGACACAACAGCTCCTGTGCGTGATGCTGTGTGACCGCTCATCAGATTTCTCCCGCTTCCTACCTGGCCGGTGTGGCACGACAGCAAGAGTAGACGTCTTGGAAGCACTCAGGGTATCAGAGAGTCAACAGCAGAATCTAATTAAATGTCATTTAGATAGAAGTGAATGAAGGGATTGTTTGACAGCACAAGGAAATGGATTTGCCTCTTCACCTTTTATTTTGGCTTAGGATTCTTTTTCTTCCCCTGAACACAAATTTACCCTGTTTAAGAAGAAGGGACTCAACCCGATCTGGAAGTTGGTCCGATTTCTGCAGCGTCGGTCCAGTCAGGCTCGACTGCGCGCATAGGAAACGCACACAGGGGGGCGAGAAATGTGAGACTCTGGTTGAAGAGCACAGATCTCCGGCTTGATAAGTGAAGGCAGTGACAAAAAACATAAAGGCCCCTTTACATGCTTGTTGTCCCGTTGGCAACTGAATTGAGAGTTGGCCATTTTCTTTAATGAATGGCTTTATGTTGAAAGATGGAGTAAATCCATAACCATATATTTCCCTGTAAGGAAAACCTTGTTTGTGGGTTTTACTTGTGATGTATGCTGGAGAGTTAAGCACATCTTGAAATGGACGTTTTTTTAAATCCTATTGTGAACAAATTATGACTGACCGGATTAGTTTCTTCTTCTTCTCTTTTTCTACCAGCCTTTACTAAAATGGCTTAAGGTATATTTGCATATGAGGGTTTACATTCTGAGCCAGTTGCACATCTAATCCCCCTCACACTCAAGCCTCCACCTTATCATGCATGGGCCTGTTTGCCACCCAGACAGAGCCCCCAGAGGGCTGCAGAGCCCCGGGACGGGATCAGATGTTCTCTACCTCCAGGGGTCCCCGACCCCTTTTTTGCCTACACGGTGGTTGGGGACCCCAATAGCTTTTGCAGTTAAATTGTTATTCCCTGGCTGTGTAAGGTTAAACTGAATGGTGTAGACGAGCAGATTACATCGCCCATTATTCCCGTCCCACTTCCATTCTCAAGTCCAACCTTCAGAGCGGAATTGGTTTAAGAGTGATCATGCACTGAATGGATAGTGGATTTGGAAAGATGTTAAGCACAATCTCTCAGAGTAATGAAAACCCCCGTATTGGTGTAGGCGGAGGTGAACTGGCACACATCGGCCCCTACAAAGGTTTTTGTGTAACATGAGACAGGGCGGTGTGGCACTTTACCAAATTGTTCTACAAAATCTTTGACTGGAGCTGTCATGAGGGGTATTGAGATGGTGAGAATCCCAGGGAGGGCGTACTATCAGGTGTCATGCTCATCAAGCTCAATTAGGTGGGAGGAAACCAAAGACAGATCACTGTGACGGTTCATTGTACGAGCCGGTGTGAGGGCATAACTCAGACATGCCTTTGACGGCCTCCACATTTGTTCACAGACGACCAAAGACAGGCCTGATTAGTTGTGTTACAAAGCAATTCTGTGGTCATTGCACGAGCAGTTGGATGAGTTGATTGTGAAGCCAGAGGGCCCGATCTGTCTTGACAGAAGTCAAGTCGTTTAATTTGAATTTACCTGTCAGTTTGTAGAGCGAGAGAGAGCAGAAAAAAAAGCCATGCCTAGAGTTCAAATTCTCCAAGCCCCTAATATCACTGCTGTGATCCCTCAGAGTTCAATGTAGATTACTACTTATTTATTTATTCTTTAAGCAATGGTTGAATATCCGATTACAGTTATTTGCATATCAATGTTCCAGAAAGGGCAGAAGCTGTTGTGGAATGAATGGTTTGTAAGGGACAGCGCATCAGATCTCAGTTGTCACGGGTAACCTACTCACTAGTACCGTTGAGCAAGATGAACTCTATCCGGCTGTCCCGAAAACCGTTCCTTTCAGTAACCAAGTCAGTCCTGCCTTGTCAATTTTATCTCAGTCAGGTCATATGATATCCCTATTATCATGCTCTGCTTTACAGGCACATGGTCCTAAATATCAGGATCGTGACTTGAAGTACATAAAGTAGTTCTTGTCCGTTGCTGGCATGGACATGTTGGCAACCACAGCTTGGATTTCATAAGCTGCTTCAAACATTATATGATAACACGGTATTTGGGGGGAGACTGGTTGAGTTGTCATGTTGGTCTTCGGGTCGAAACTGCTCTCCATGTTCGTTGGAAAGTCCTGACGCCGCATGGCTGGAAGACGCATAGTTGGGTTCTAATGTTAACACACCTCTTGCTCCACACAGACTCTCACACTCAATCAGTGCACTAAACCACTATGGTTGAACTTATTCCACTGTCTTCATACTTTTAATCAAATTACTGGCAACATGTGCTTCTCACATTAACACCGTCTCAAGTTATCGAGAGTCTGCGATCTGCCTCGACCTGATCTATTTTCCTTTCCTATGCCAGCGCGGTTCGACAGAAAACGTGCAGCAGATGTGAAGGTTTTCGGGAGATATCAAAATGTTTACCAGTTGAAATAAACATGGCCTACTTTAGACACTGCAGAGGCAGATTCCTTTCCCCCAGCGAGCAGATAGGACATGCCATTCTGCCAATGACTAAAATATACAGTTGTCGGAAAATATTAAGTGAGAGGGGGAGTAGTAGTCAAAGCAGAACAATGACCAGTTATCTGAAGCATTCATCTTCTCTGGGGCTTGTTTTAGGACCGTGCCTCAGCACCGGGAAGCTGCTGAGCGGAGTAGTGCTATCTGCTCAGGAGGAAATACTGAGCCATCTCAGCCAAAGATGGGAGCGAGATTGCGCTTAGCTGCTCTGGAGGTGCCTGTAGTGCAGGGTGGGGGTCTCCACATAAGTAGCTGATATGAGTGTTTTATTCCCCAAACTGGCTCCCTTACTAGCGCTGTCAGTGAGATATGCTTTTGACTTGCCAAGACAAACTGCACCCTTAATGAACCACAAATACGGAGGAGTGTGTTTGGTTTCCTGATGACTGCAGCTAGTCCTGTCGCTGCCCAAAGGGGAGACATTTGCATCCCCGTATTACTGGTTAACTTACAAATTGCAAGGGGAGTAGCAGCCTGCATGGAGGTGTGTTTCTTTTCATTTTGACTTTTGAGCTCATCAATAACCACTTGTCGTCATCATTCTGTGTTAGATCGCTCTGTGCTGCTGTACACACCTACTACCTGGCATGTTCCCACTGCCCCGCCAGCTGCTTCGATGTGCTGTTCAGCAACAAGATCGTTCTCCTCATGGACCTGCTGCTGCATCAGCTAACAGTAAGTCAAAGAGCACAAAAGACCATTTTCAGTTTGGTTTGTTTCTGGCTGAAGTGTTATTTCAATTTCTATAGAGTCCAGTATATGTGAGGAAATTGTTTGGATGTGTTTATTAAAGGCTATTCAAGTATTTCTAGCAAAGCCGCACATTCATTAGGCCTTTTTTGTAAAAAAAAAAAACACAAAAAAACAACTTGTTTTCATTACATTAATCTGTCGATATACAGAGCTTTGACTGCTGCCTTTTTGCTAGTGTCGGTTCCTGCTACAGTTTTAATGAAAGACAGAGCAAGACACAAGCTCTGTAAGAAGGACTGTAAACATCAGCCCGCTCCAAACATGTAACGGTGGTTGCTCGCCGGGCCGCCTACACTCACAACACAGACAGGAAAAGGCACAGGCGCACACGCTTGTGGTACATGCATGAACTCTTCTGGGGCCTCCTCTTCCAGCAAGTGAGTTCCAATCCAAAGAAGTCATATTTCCTTAGGGCGCACAGGGAGAGGTTAGCCTGTTTGCTCGAGTTTATATGAAACATATCCCAGCAGCTGTTCTGCTGACTGACATATCCAACAGCACTGCAGGAGACAAAGTTGCTGTTCCACGTGTGTCCAATGCAGATTAATAATTGGGCTCAAACCTATTCATGCTTTGATAAATTATAATCCAATTTACAAGTGAGACAATACCGTTTTCAAATACCGCAGAGCTTTCTTTCTTTTTTTCTTCTTTTTTTTATTGCTTCACAGAGTGTGTATGTCTGTATTCTGGTATGCATGTGTGTAAGCAATGGAGTAAAGCAGTGGGGGTTGCACTGCCATTTGAGCATGTACCCTTTTAATTAGATTTGTGGAGAATGTCGGTGGATTTACCTTTGCTGTCAGCATGCGCCCCAACCATCAGACCAAATGAGTAGAAGTTAAGGTTTTCCACGTTGCGCAGCAGCACTATATCTGAAACGTGGCCTTCTGCTTGTGTGTTGAACGCAGTTTGTCTTGGCTGACTACACCATTTAATTTCCTTTTATTTGGGCTTCATCTTGTCCCCACGTAATATGTTCTTGGGACATCTTGACTTGTTTAGACCAGTGTGTCTGTCATTTGTGTAGCGGAGGAAATGCCTTTTTTCTGTAGCTGTAACAAACAACACAAATGTATATTCTGCTACCTTTTGGCAAAAAAATGACTTTACTGTGCAGAGAATGTGGGAAAATAATTAACAAAAACATTTAATATTAGCCTCTGTGTTAAATTAACGTTCGATGGACCTCTCTTGTTTATCCCACACTGTTGATATTGTGTCTAATGGCATTTGGATACATTTGTTCAGATTTCTGCATGCAACCATGAGGGTTCAAGAGCACCATTTGGATGGATTGCCTTGTATAGTATGCTGTCGGTAACATACATTTTCTTCCATTCTTTCAGCTATACGTCCCAGATGAGGACAAATCTATTTTCGGCCGCAGTGTGAACAAACAAGTCTTTGAGGGATTGACGGCAGGATTGCTGCAGACCATCGCCGCCATCTTAGCGACCCTGTGGCCGGATGACTCTGAGCCTGGCAAAGACAAAAACACCTTGATTTTTTCCCTGGATGCCAAGGTCAAGAGCTCTGTCGAGTCCTTTAACACTCGCGCTCAAGACTTAATCAGGTATTTCATTCCTACGTACTGTTGTACTGACATGGTTTCTCCTCCGACAAGGTACATCTTTTTCTCATTTTCTGACCTTTTTACCGTCTTTAATAAGTCCCTCCTCCACTCCTCTTTGCTGGGTTGAGAGTCGGTCAACCTGTGATATCGTCAACAGCGTGCGTTATGTAAAGAATTGGCCGACAAATGTCAGATCTCTTGGAAATGGCGCAACTGGTGTCTTGTTAGAATGGGAACAGTGTGAGAATGTATTCTGGCATCCTTCCAGCTTGTACTGTTTCCACACATTCAGCGCCGCATTTCAAGTAAAGTCCATTTCGGGGGGAGGGCACAAAGTAGCATAAACAAAGAGCACTTCCCAAGCTTTGAAAGGCCTCCTTGAACCTGGCGTTGGAGCTAGCCTTGTGGGTCTGGGCTGTAGAAGTTGGGGCTGGGTTGGAGAAATGTGGGCTGTGAGGAAAGGCAGGCCCGGCCTGATGAAGCCTCGTGGAAGAGTGCAGTCTTTCCACCACCCCTCCCACAAGCAGTTATTCATCTGGACAGAGCAGCTGCACAGGCCCACCGCTCTCATCCACTGACCCAGTCGTAACCCTGGAGACAGGGGAGGGCCTGAGAAAAATGGTGTCGTCGGACTGGTAATCCCAAGTACGAGCACACAAGATTTACCTCAACTGCCTTTTATAATGTATATGCTAGTGGGGGGGATCAAAAACATTTTTAGCTTTTGCAACACTCTCCCACTACGCAAACCCATATATCCAATGGACACGAGAGCGCCATTTCCTTTCGTCTTAATTACCAGTCTCGCCCGTCTTTTGGTTCCCTATCATTGTTATACATGTTGAGACACACCGAGTGGCAAGTTTGACCACCAGGCAGGCTGTCAAAAAGAGAGCCGGTATGCACAAAGCAGTCACTGTGAGGACAGTGATTAGAGGACAACCTACATCATTGCACTGACCACATCAGCTGCTAGAAAGCCTTGATTGTCAGCTAATAGAGCCGTATAGATTTTCTTGAGCTGTGCCTGAGAGGAGCCTGGAGGTGCGAGCATACCGGGGCACTGAGATGACGGCCCACTGTCAGGGGCCCCAGAGCTAGGCTGGCACAGGGGCCACAACAACCCCCTAATGACACTATTAGCAGTGATTTGTGGCTGAAAGAGTACAGGGAACATGATCATGAGACCTGTCATTGGCAAAGACAAATTGGAGATATCGCAGTAATAGCAGGGGGTGGAGGGCTTAGGTGGGGTATCTGTTTTCAGTTGCAGTGGTGTGGAAGTATGCACAGTAAAGGCCTTTGTTTGCCTCTATGAGGTGAGCTTTCTTTAAAGGAAGTCTAGCAAAGTAAATTGGGGAAATGAATATTAACCCCTGCATGTTTTTTTCTGTGTGTCTTCCAGCTACGTCGTAAACATGGGTTTGATTGACAAGCTGTACGGGTGTTTCCTGTCAATCCAAGGTCCCGTAGACGAGCAGCCGAAGGTCTCAGCTTTCCTCCAGCAAGCCTCGGCTCTGCTGCACAGCATGTGTACGCTGTGCTGTAAGCTGTGTTTCGTCGTAACCGGACGGTGAGCATTTCCCCAACACGCGTTAAACATCGAACGTGATCTCCTGCTCTTTCTCCGACAGACGCGCGCACACACACACACACACACACACACACACACACACACTGACTTGTCCCTGTGCGTCTAATGATCGAGCCTGATGAGACGGGAATCCTGGTTGCTCAAACAAAAACTGTGGTGGCTCCGCAATCAGCCAGCAGGTCGTTTCCTCCAGCCAGCGATCTGGCTAAGCTGTCGTTCCTTCAGATAGAGATAGCATCTACTTGACCCGGTGCTCTGTCACTCACCATAAACCTTAGCCTGCAGCGTGGGGGGAGCCCACCCACGTGTGTTACAGTGACCTCCATTCACAGAGGTTCAGCGGTGCCGCTGACGGAGGCGACACACACAGTCACACCAAGGGACGTTAGTATCCAAAGTTCCTCTCTTAAAAGGAAATTACATGCCAACCACGGTAGCAAGGAGACCCGCTTTGATGCTGTGCATTACTACAACATTTAAATAGCGATAAGCTCATCGCATTATCGTTGTCACGCAGAATCTAGGTGTCCTTCGAGCCAATTTGGTTTTCTTTCAAATGGACCCCACCACTTGGCAGCGCACCGCAATCTTCTTACTTAATTTGAAGTGTTGCCCCTTGCAGCTGGCAAGGTACCGCGGTAACGACGACCAGCTGCTTCTCACCAGCAAAGGAGAAAACGGCCTCGGTAGTTTGTCACTGAATGTCTGTGAGAGAACATCGTGTCAGACTTTGCAGGTTTAATGAGACTACGGTTGTGATCAATACAGCAGCCAGCGAGCTCCGCTCTGCCAAACCTCTCCCAAGTATATAAGGACGCTCAATGGGCTTGAAGAATATTTTGGCCATGCCAGTTGCTGTGTCAGGGGATTATAATGGCATTAGGAGGCTATGTTCTTGCCTCGCAGCATATTTCACGCATAGCCTGTTGGCTAACATCAAGTATCAGCTTGCGCTGTAGGTTCCATCCAGAGGTCACGCGCCCTCTTTTCTACATGGCTGAAAATCATAGCTGGTGCTGCCGGGGTTGTCTTCGATTGTCAGTCTGTACTAGCTGAATGTTTGCACTTCAGTCTTCCTACTGTAAATAATTAATGCCTGTGTTGCTTCCATTTCTCTCAATTAAAAAAACCTGCAATGATTTTTTTTTTTGGTCAAAATTAGCCACAAGTACTGATATTTACACGATACTTTTACACGTATTTCAAGTTGTTCAAATTTTGCAATGGTTATTTCCCTAAATGTCTTTTGAAGCTCGTTGAATGACAAATCTTTAAAACGCGGTAACTTGTGTTGCATGTCAACTGTGTTGACTGAGGCCCTTACACCAACTATCGCTCTGTAGATCCGCCAGATTCAAGTAGCTGCCATGAGCTTCACGTCATGGCATTACTATGTTTACTGTAGCCTGAGAGGGAGCAGAAGACACAATCTTAACCGTCCCACTCAGCGGCACCCAAACTGTCTGGCTGGGAATTTAAAGTTAAGTTAAAAAAAAGGGGGAAACGGATTGAAAGCTCTTCACAAAGACTGAAAAACTATTATTCTATAACTAAACAGAAGTACATAGGGTGCCTAAGACGGACCTAAGGAGCAGCTTTGATAAATGTGAATATGCATTCCTGTGTTAAAGTCTGTGCTCACACTCACTGCAGTGAGTTATGTCAGGTAATGTAGCCGCACCAACAGGGTAGTATCTCTTATCTAAAGGGAAGGTCGTCTAAGCCCTTGTCTGGTGAGTAAATCTAGAGGCCGCGAGGTCTCTTTCTTTTCACGACACAAGCTCTATGAATGCACAAATAGTGATCTAAATGTAACAAATGGTTATCTTGTATGATATCTGTGGCTATTTATTCATTTATTTATGAACACGTAGCATTTCTTTTTGGTTTTGCTGGCCACACCCACTCCTCCTCTCCAGGACTCCCAGTATATTTGACAATAAACGCCAGGACCCGACTGGATTGACGGCCCTGCTGCAGTCCACAGACCTGGTGGGAGTGGTGCACACTCTGTATTGTATCCTGCTGCACAGCTTCTCGCCAGAGTCTTCTTCCCAGAGTCAGGAACCGTACAGCCCCGGGGTCATCCAGGTGGCTTTGCAAGGCATCAGCTTCCTCAACAGTTTTGCCCAGCTGAACCTATCGGCCTTTCAGGTATCATTCAGAAGTATACGGCTTTCACTTCCACAAATGTAAAAATCCGTAAAAACATCAAGCAGATTTTCTCCAGAAGCTCAAAGATATATTTGTTTCCTTCACAGTGACTGACTACATCAGATTTTTCTTTGAGCATTTTTATGTATTGTAGAAACATTGTTATACAATATATATTTTACTGATGAACATTCACGGTACATGTTTCTTTAAGGAATAGCTAGTACCTTTTGTATGTTTTTTAAACTATATACTAGAAAGAGCTGTTTGAATGGGTAAAATATAAAAACAAATATTTATATAATCTTCCCTGGATTTAATAAAAAAATAACTGATGCTAGTTAATTTGTTAAGAGCCAGTGGAAGAGGAGTCCCTCTCCTACAGACAAACTGACCTGTGACCATAAACACGGCTGCCCTCTGACCCCGGGTCGGTGGCCGGGTCGGTGGCCGGGGTTGAATTGAGCCTGGTGGGTCAGCAGTTAGGATGGAGCTCGAGTGATTATCATTGTACGCGGGGCCGTACATTACCCACCCTGAAGAGGAGGGGGCGACAGCTTCACTGATCCAAGGCACCACATAGACGGAAAGCCACGAGAGCCAAGCGAGAATGCTGTTAATTATTTTAATGTCTTGTGGTAATTACTTTGAAGCGGCTTCCTTTCCCTGACCCACCACACTCAATTCAAAACAGCTGCAAATGAAAGCATTTCCCTGCCACAGTTTTATGAACATTTTAAATAATGCTTTGGGGTTGTAATGACCTTGTGTTTCACATTACCTGCAAAGCAACGGCTAATAAGTGTTGACGGGGATGGATGATCTGAATTTAGGCCGTTTATGCTTTATGCATATAATTATGCTCCCAATAATTTGTTTAGAAAGGAATTTGAAATGGGTTCAGGGAGTGTGAATCACAGGGAGACAAAAAATGGTTCACATCTGAGCAATGTTTCCTGTTTCTCTTTTCAGAAATTAAAAATTGGGGTGGATATTTTCTTTAATACATAAAGTTATCAGGCTTGAAAATGGCCTTCAGCTGCTCTTGGCTTGCATCCATGGATGTTACAATGCTGTGTTATAGTGCTCTGTCACACTGACATGTTTTTTAAATACTGTCTCAGAGCTGCTTCTATTTTTCAGCGGGATTAGCTAAATATATTGTCATTCATTACTTTGTATTGTCATGGTGTTGAGCTCCTTGTACTCACAGTGGTCGAGGACGTATGCTTAATTCAGTGTGAAACGCGCTAACATGTCTCCGACCCGTCAGTCTGTTCTAGGAGCCGAAGGCCTGTCTCTAGCTTTCAGACACATCGTCAGCTCGCTGCTCTGGTACTGTACCCAGCATTCCTCTGAAGATCTTCTGCACAAAGTCATCATCTGCGTGGGATACTTTACTGTCAACCACACGGACAACCAGGTAAACCGGCTTGAACACCTGCTGACTGCATAGAAATGAATGAACATTTGGTCAGATAGGAAAGAAATCTCCTCATTTTTGGTTATTATTTAATTCCTGTTGTTGATTATTAATTTTGATAGTCCCACATAATTTAAATTGATAGATATTGCCTGTTTTGTCCAATCAACACTCTTAACACCTAAAATACTCAGTCAATTATACATGAGGAAGCATAGAACATAATTGATATGGAATTTAGAAATGTATTAGTTCTTTGTTATCTTTTATTATCATATTTTTTGTTCAGGTAAAACATCAATCTGCTTAATTTTTCAGGAATAATTTACACAATAATTAATCGAATTGCAATCTGTAGATTTTGTGCTAATTGTCAAATGTTTAATGGTTTCAGAACGAGTTACATTGCCTTATGTCACTTGTCATCTGAGTGAGGAAGAGCCTGGTTCTATCATATCACCGCTGCTCACTTCATGTATAATTTGTCAGGAATATATATATAAATATATATATATATATATATATATATATATATATATATGCCAAACGGCAGCAGACAGCCCCCATAAGCCCCAAATAACTATTTATAGGCTGATCACCGATTCTCTTTTACCAGATTTTTACTTGTAATTAAAGGCTCTTCCTCATGTCCTATGCAATTTAATTATTCTGATGTATAGAATTAGCATCTGTTGGTCATTTTAGAAAGTAATTTACATATTATATTGAATAATTGAATGAGCACAATAACATTAAATTAAGCGGGTGACAGATGATTCTCCTTTGAACGCTTACAAGTAAAGGATTTAGTTTAAAAAGAAATATCATGTTGTGGTACATTTTGTCAGGAAACAAGATCCCACAGAAGGTCCACACAGAGTTGATCTTTGCCAGTGGTCCAGTTCCTGGAATGCGTCCACTCAGTTCCGCACCAAGATGGATGGCGTTAAGGGGAATATTTAGAGCAGCTTGAGCTTTTCTCAGGCTAATGTAAGCATTGGCAGAACACAAAAGCAGCCCGAGCCGAGGCCCGTGCATTGGTGAGACTGCTGATTCACTGTCGGCACGCCAGCTTTTGTTTATACACACAAATATATAAATATCTAGAAATAAGGCTGCTCATAAAAAGCAGAGCTTTGAAGCAGCAGTATAAGTAGTGATGTATTCCCTCTGCTCCGGGGGCATGAATAATTCACCTTGTCACACGAAAAGCCATCGGCAGAGTAACATATGTATAGGCCTGTGTGTCACTGCTTGTGGGGGCGAGCGAGCCGTGTAGCCGTATGTCTCTCTGTCTCTCGGGTGTGTCCCTAGAGATCATTTTTGAAGAAAAAAAAAAAGATCAAACGCAACAAATTACACCTATTTTGCAACTGACAAGTAACAATACTTTTTCGCCTGAAGAGATGTGAGCCGGTAATCTCCTCTGCGAATACAGTGATTCATTTGTGAATGCTGCTTGGTGATGATCTGTTGAGTGTTCGAGCTGACGAGGTTTTAATTGCAAACTGTTATGACATGTTAACCCACCTGATTCCCGCTTGCTCCTTTAGAAAGACACGAGCAATGTGAGTGTGTGTGGAAATCATAAGAAAACCTCGCATTTCTTTTTCAGTTCATGGAATATCTGCCATAGACACGCAAGCAGAGGGAGCAACACACAGAAACACACACACTTGCCTGTAGACGTGGGTCTCATTTTAGGTAGTGTATGGACCTTTCAGAAATGTATCATAACGAGTCGTGTTCCTTGGACCATCTCCTGAGGTCACCTGACTCCTCTGTGCTTGTTTTTCATAAACCGTCACCAGAGCTTTTACACTTCACATCCCACGCGCATCTTCAGAGCTCAGCCTCATCTGTGGGGTCGTTGCTCCCCTTCCCCTTCTCTACGAGGGCGTTCCCTCTGCCCCTCTGCCCCCCGGGCCGAGCGCCGGGCCTGTAATTCCTGTTTACCCGATGTTGAAACGCTCCCTTCAGCTGTCCCATTACAGCCAAGCCCTCGCTGCCTGCGGGGTAAGTGCAGCTCGTGCAGACCGTAGGGAGCCAGCACCAGGGAATGCACACTGTGTGTCACCCAGCGGAGTAAACAAAGGCTGGGTAACACAGACAGACGCGCTCGCTGCTGACTGGCAGGAGGGGCCCTGATTGTTAACCCGGGTGATGATTTACACTCCGCTTCAAGGGTGAGCGCAGGTCCAACGGACTTTAAGTGAAGCCGAGGACATTTTTATCCCTGCAGACCTTTTCAGAGAGGAGTTTCCATTTGTCTGTAACACTGTCATCAGGTTAGTTTTGGGGAAGTGTTATCTGCGCTGGAGATCTGGGGTGGAATGACAGCGTCGGCTCATAGAGATAAATAAAGAGTTTTTAAGCTTCATTGTGTAAACGGCAGGGTTTTTTAAATTTATTTTTATGGGATTTTAAATGTAATTAGACAATTGCCTTAAAAGTCAAGTTGGAGGGTCCATGTAAATGTCTGGCTCGCCAGCATCTGATTGTCCAACGGTAATTTACGCAGCGTCCTGTGCGCGTCTCAGTCGGCCATTGGAAACGTTGTAAAGGGGTCCCCCCGGCGAGTCACTGGGCTGTCCACATTTCGTGGCGCACGCTGTGCCGCTCGTCTTATCAGCGGGGGCGGTTCCACCTTTACCTCTGGTTTGTTTCGCGGGTTTACCGTCGGATTATACGCCCCCCCCCCCCCCCGTACCCACCATCTCCACCCCGCTCTGACGCCGGCTCTTTCTCAGGTGTTCGAGCTGACGAGACGCTTTGACGTGAATGGAGATTCCTCTAGACCAGCGGTTCCCAAACTCAAGAATGCCGCGGCCCAGCTTGAAATCTGAAAATTTTTCGCGGCCCACCCAAACCTTTAATCACAACTCTGATCAAAACATAGTGATTAAATGACCTTAAGAATTTAACCAAAATCAAACATCCGCGAGCAAAAGTCCGTCTCCGCGAGGTATTTGCTCGCTTGGAAAACGTGAACTTTGTTGCTGGCGAGGAGAATCTCTGCTCGCCAGGGGCGTGGCCAGTAATGAGCAAGGGCGGCACTGGCCCACCCAATCAAATTGTTTTTTGGTAATAATTTTTAGTTTATTTTTACTATTCAAATGTATTTAAGAACATATATTAATATCAATTTGATTTATGTTTGACTGGTGTGTGTGTGTTTAATTTGTTTTCCTAATAAAACTGAACTGTTAAAGTAAATTGTAGAAATACTCCTTCTGGAACGTAATTGGTTGCTATGCTTGCTAGGGGTTCCGACTGGACGACTCTGGGCAGCGGTGGGTTCTTTGCTAGCTGGCTGCTTTTTTAGCTAATGATTAACATCGCAACAATAATGGCTGAACAAGTGTCTTTGATGTGTTATTTTAAAAAAGCAAGAGTTGAGGGAGAAGACTCTCCACTGCCTCCATCTACCGAGTCCACCCAGCCCAGCCCAGTTCTTTGGACTCATTAGCCCACAAGAAGCCTAGTCAGGCGCCCGTGGCGGCCGCTGCTTGCTCCGTGGCAGTGCCGGTGCTCTCTCCCGGTCAGCCTGACGCGGGATTACCCGCCGATCTAACCGCAATTGATGAACCACCTTCACAACCCAATTTGAAGGTATTTCCCTGCACTGTCAAGAATGGAAAATCAAGGAGCTTCTCATCAAAGTGGTATGGACAGTTTCCTTGGTTGGAGTACAGTGTGATCAAGGACGCGATTTTCTGTAAAATGTGCAGACATTTTCCAAGCGCAGCTGACAGCCCATTTGCGAAAGAGGGACAGAGCGACTGGAGCTCCAAATCCGGAGCAGTGAGCTAAGTACTGACGTTACTCGACGTAATATTAGAAGTGCTTGCTGAATATGCTGAAAGCAGTGGCCAATCGAAGGTTGAGGCGCAGTCACTGTTGAAACAAATACAAACAAAAAAGTTCTTATTTTTACTCGTCACATTTGGAAAGTTATTTCAGACGAGCGATTTTGCCACACAGGGTTTACAAAGCCCAACATTGTCAGTTTCTGAGTGCATCAATCTTATTGAGGGACTTAAAGAGAGCTTTGTATGGAAGTAAATCTGTGTCATCGGATTTTGAAAGAAAAAGGTGATTGAATTTCTAGCACTGAATATTTATGCATTGAAATCATGTATCTGAATGTTTTTCAACGTTAAAATATTCAACTGCAAAAAATTAAACCGCAAACAATTCAATGCAAAAAAAATTCAATGCAAAAAAATTCAATGCAAAAATGCAATGCAAAAATTCAATGCAAAAAAATTCAATGCAAAAATTCAATGCAAAAAAATTCGAACCGCAACATCCGGGAACCCAAGGAAGAGCAATCGATTCTAGATCAAGATCGGGAGCGTGCGTCAAGCAAAAGGAGCGAGCGCCCCAATACAACTTGGGCTTGTCGACTATGATGACCGGATTTCAGCCATGTCCATTAATAACGGGGCTTCGTTGAGTGTTTTAACTTTAACTTCATGCCATCAGTGTGGTTTGTGTCTGTAAGATTCAGTAATAGACTGCTGATGCTGGGATGCTTCGACGAGCTATTAGGAGTGATTGGCGGAGTTTTGAAACCAGGAACGCGCTTGTAGAGCGCATAGGAGCCGCTGCAGCGTAGTGGGGGGGGGAAGCGGCTTTAGCGGAGCGTGTGCAGACGCATAACCCCGACAGTACGTGCAGGTTATGCTGTTTACATGCACGTGCAAGTGAAATTACAACTGAAACAACAACATGAAATTAGTTGTTGATTTAACTATGCGGTGTGTTGTATAGCTGTATGCCTTGTAGCAGCGGTTGCCAAAAAGAATGCCGCCGTCCACTTTGAAATCTGAAAATCTTTTGCGGCCCACCCAAACCTTTAATCACAACTCTGATCAAAACATAAACTAGGGATGATTAAATGACCTTAAGAATTTAACCGATTAAAAATGTATTAACCGACAATGTATGTTTTGTATGCCATTTTCTCCAGAGCTCATGTGCCGTGTTTTCCGCACAATAAGGCGCATAAGATACTGCAGTCTATCAGCGCAAATCACTGTCAAAATTCGAGAGCGCAAATCAGGTTGATGTGCGCGCGTAAATCAAACATCCACCAGCAAAAGTCCGTCTCGAGCGAGCAAAAATTTGTCTCGAGCGAGCAAAAGTTTGTCTCCGCGAGGTATTTGCTCGCTTGTGAAACGTGAACTTCGTTGCTCGTGAGGAGAATCTCTGCTCGCGCTCGAAGTAGTTTTCTACGCGCTCGCTGTTGTTCTTTTTGACAGTAAGGTGGAGACGGTGCTTTCAGGGTCCGGTCGATGAGAGGCACAAAATCTTAATTTCCACCAGGCTGATTGCATTGTATATGGTTGATTTAACAGAATTTAGGGAGTGTGTTATTTATTTCAAACCGTGCTCTGCTGAGAGTTTTTATTATTTTGATTTAATTTCTTTTACTTTTAGCCTACTTTTATTTTCTGTCTTTGCACTGCTGACTAGCCTGAATAAAATAGACAGGTTATTGTCTATGCTGGTTTGTCTAGCCTTTATTGAGCTCTGTTGGTTGAGCATGATGTTTAGACAGTGTTTTGTTATTGTCTTTGCCGAATATTGCAAAATAAAGGTGTAACTGTTTTTGCAATTTAGCTACTCTCTTTTCTACTCTCTAAGGTTTAATTATTATTTAAGTAATTTTTTTTCTACAAAAAACTAGGCCCACCCACTTTTTCACTGGCCCGCCCAAAATACAATTTCTGCCTAAGCCCCTGCTGCTCGCGCACAAAGGAGTTTTCTACGCGCTCGCTGTTGTTCTTTTTGACAGTAAGGTGGAGACGGTGCTTTCGGGGTCCGATCAATGCTGCGAGGTGGGTCTGGATTAGGATTGAAGGATTAGGGATGAATGAGGTTCATACATTTTGTTCGTCCGGCGGTGCTGCAGCTTCATTATGCTACTTGATATTGTGCTTTGCTCCACGCTTTGCTCCCCCCCTCCAAGTTCTTACACCTGCTTTAGCTTTGTTTTTTTTGTCTTCGACACTGGGTTGTCCCCCAATAGTTTTGTTTGCGTTTCAGAACGTTAACTTTACACACTCTTTGTTGTCATTGTGGACAGTGAGGAAGTTATGTAACGGAGGTGTCATAAAACTCTGCACTGTTTGAGAAGAAAACGCCAGGTCTCTGAACTTAAGAAAGAACAGCCAAGGCCCTTGAGTTTTTACTACACGAGCCAGACGCGCAGGTTCAGATGCTCGCAGTTTGTTTTATGATGTCAGGCCTTAAACTGCAGATACTTCAGCTGAGCTCGCAGGGGCATAATCTCCAGCTGGAAAGCTTTCTCGGGCCCTGGTGTTGCCCTTCACCTGGGTGAGGCGTGGAAAGTTGGCAGGAGACTGGAGTTTCAGCAACATCAATACTCTTCCTGCCACCAGGTTTGTTTTATGTCTCTCTGCGTCGGCGGGCACTTGAGGGGTGGACAATTTGTTTAGGCAGCTGAAGATGGAACTGTGTGTAGCGGAGGATTATGAGATCGCCGGGTGATTTGTGGGTGGGATCTTCTCAGAGGCCCCCGGCTGAAATATCCAACACTTGCTTTGGTGTTAAATTATGATACCTAAACCATAAATATTCTGCATTAAGACCCCCAGCGTTCCACGTTTGAGAACAGATAGTTTGTCTTTCTGTTCTTACTCCCCCCGTGAGTGGCTGAATTTGTCCCACATTCCTTTGTGAAAAACACTTAATGAGTCAGTGAAACCAGGGATTTTATTCTTCCTCTGTTGCGCACACATCTTCGCAGCGCGGTTTACATCTTAATAATGTACTCCAGACCATAATTTAATTCACCACAGCAGTGTGAAACACACACCGAGAAGGAATCTCGCCACAGCAAAAATTGGAGTGTTGAAATTTCAGGGTTAAAAATTTCCGAGTTGATTTTCACTCCCTGAGTGTAATTTTAACACATTCTGATTTAAATGGTGTTCAGTGTTGGAGTTATTTGGCAGAGTTGATCATGTCAGTGTTAACCCAACTCCGCAGAGACGTAATTAAGCTCCGCCCACGCCTTTCACCTCTTCGGTTAGAGACAGAGAAGACAAGTCTGCGCCATTTTCTACCTCTCATGCAGTACTACACGGTAAGTGCAATTAAGTTAAACTCACTGAAACAATTAAAAATTGATGCTGAGAATTTCAGTATGAACAATTAAATATCTACAGAGAATATATGCCTTACACAGCCGTGTTTGTTGCCAGGACTGAACAGTACATTTGTCCTCGTGGTTAGCTAGCTAGTTAGCAGTGTACGGTAAGCTAGCTAACAGTTTGTTACTAAAACTATCTCCAACTTTATCAATAATGATTTAACAATTCATAGGCATACTCAAAGGTAGGAAATACAAAGCATTATGATTTTTAACTATATAAAATCTTGTTTGAGGCTGGAGCTAACGTTTTTTTTTCCTCTTTGAAGATCAAAGGGACCGCAAAAAACGTGTCCCAACATGCAGACGGTGTTTCACGTGTCTAGTTCACGTGTCTAGCTATCCATCAGATTCTATGACCTGCAGTGTTGGAAAAAGTACTCATTTACTTAAGTAAAAGTATGTAAGTATTACCATTACTATAATTACCAAATTAAAGCTAAAGTACAAAATTAGCAGAAAATTGGGGTGTGACTGATATATATGAAATACATTTAAGTGCATCATTGAATACTTTATTTTATTTTATTTTTTTTTATTTACTTTGTCAAACTTCATTGCATGTCTCAGTCAAAATGCTGGTCCAGGTGAAGTACAGCCAACAGCAGAAGTATGTAAAGTTGGATGAGGATGAAGGACTGTTTGACTTTCTGCAATTCCATGAAAAAGGTTAGTATGGCTTACAAAAAAGGTCTTAAACCACATCCATGTTCTTTTTAAAGCTCTTTAAATGCCTTTATCAGACTCTTATACTGTAAATGGGTGTACATTGCTAAACATTTTCAGTTCTGCAATGTGTGCTTCATGTAAGTGTCAAGTGTAAAGTATAATATACACCAAAACAGTCCAGAAAAAAAGGCAATCATCAATTTTTAAATTTGGACTTGGAAGGGAATGGGTTTTGCGAGGGACAAATGCTCTATGTCTATTTAATGATTATACAGTGTTGGATGTATGTATTTAACATGAACAGTTATTGGCTGTGAGGCAAGAAACAGTGCGACAGTTCAAAAGCACATTCAGTTTGACCTTATCTATTCCAGTCATGGAGAGATTTGGCCTGCCACCTGATGCAAATGTTATATACAAGGATGCAACAGGGACAGAAGTTGATGCAGAAATATTCAGCGACCTCGTTGGACAAGGCAATGTGGTCCTGACAGTTTTCTCAGATCAGGGTGAGATATTAAGGCAGGTATAATAAAGCACTCTACACCTTAGTATATCATTTAATAATTTAAATGTTCTCTATTGCTTTAGAATTCTCTGATTTCTCCTTGTCTTCTGAGACGTCTGACTCAAGCTTCAGCTCAAGTGCATCAACTATAATCCTAGATGTTCCGAACAAGAGACAAAGAATTGAGGATACACGTGATGCTGTGTCTGCTAAACAGGTTGCTTAATGCTTTCACATTTTTTCACTCTGAGTCACTAGAAAAGTTGTTTATCACTATGTTTTGTATTCTCATGTTTTTGTTTTTTATTAGTTGATAGAAGCTGTGCTAAGAGGCAAGTCCGGAGGTGAAGAAGTACTACAGGAGTACCAAACAACAGAAACCCAGATGCTGCAAGAAGACAAATGGTTAATATCCTGGTGGCTCACATGATTGACAATCATGGGTATGTTTGTTTCACATTGTTTTTATTTGTGCCAAATAAATGCATGACCATTGCATAAATGTACTAATTTACTAATTTAATATCTCCTCTCAGGCACTAAAACAATCAGAGAAGATTATGCACGTGGGATAGTGATGCTGTTCCCTTCCCTTAAGGATCCATACTCCAAGAAGGGCTATGTAATAGGCATTATTATTGTTTAAACTTCCATGTCATGTTGTGACCCAAAACTGTGTGGATGACATTGATATTTGAATTCCGTGAGATTTCTCATGAGCCTGGTATTACAACACATTTCTTTTTTCATTTCAGGAACACTTCTATGATGCTGCAAGCAGCACAGGATACATTTCTTGGCGTCTGAAAACAGTCCAGAGGAAGATTCGTCAAGTATCTGCACAGCCACCAAAAAGCCCAATTGACTTTTCTCCAGTAGGCCCAAATTGCCAAAGGACTGTTAATGTTGAAGGGCAGCTTGATGGTGATGCTTGCCAAGAGGCCATGTCTTTGCTTAACCATGCAGCAGACAATTCCCTGATTTTCCAGAAGATGAGAGAGACCTTTCAGCATCGTCAGAAGCTTGTTAATGACCCAGGCAGAAGTGTTGATATACTCTCCAACTTCCCAAGATTTCTGGATACAAAAGGATTGGTAAGTTTGGGATGAGATGTTTGGAATGGCTTGAAATTTGAAAGTATTTCCAGTAGTAGTCGTAGTTGTTGTTGTTGTTTAATATCTTCTTTCCTAAAGGTGGAACAAGACTTCACTCTCCTATTTGACGAAGACACATCATCCAGGCTTCTTCAGAAATGGGATTTGTTCTTCAAGCCAAATGTCATTAAAGAGGCTAAGCGGCTCACCTCAACACCAGAGTTGCGTCGCTTGGTGCAGTCAGCAGAAAGTCCCCCAGGAAGTGATCTTGATGAGGCAACAAGTGAGTGTTTTGTTTATTTGAATACCTTTGCTATCATTTCAGTTAAACTATAACTGCAATAATATTTTTTTTTTTATTCTGTGTCTCTGAACGTTGATCTGATTTTTGGGATAACTGTGACTAATAGGTGGATGACTCCCTCTTCTCATTCAAACTTAAAGTGTTACATTTGAAGAGGTTTTAGTTAATTCTTGTGACTGTTTGTCCTCAGCCTACGACCAAGAAATGGCCTCCCTGTTGTTGCTGTTACATCTCCTTCCACCACCTCCAGGGGGACTGAAGTCTCCAAAAATTAGTGCATGTGATGCAGTTGAAAGACTTGTTGTCTTTCATAAGGTAATTATATTATTACGGGGATTATAATAATTTGTCATGTCAACATCTTAGCCACATATGTAAATGAGGGTTGTGGATTGTAATTATGTCTTCATTCCCATCTTGCACAAGCCAATAAGATGTTAGAATAATCAATTCTATAATGTTTTTTTATTTGGCTGCACATTATTCTTGTCTCTAATGTTCAGTTTTCTGATCTCAACCATAGTCATGCTGCAGTTTGGAGGAGCATCTCCGCAACCAGCAGGGTCGGCAGCCGTACCTCCTCGCTGTTGGGCGTCAGAAGAGCAAGATTGACAGCTTCTACGTCACCATGGATAAGCGTCTCATCCCATGCAAGGCAAACCGCTCCCTCGGGGCATGTGATGAACTTTTCAAAGCACATTAAATTTGTCTTACGATGTGGCACTTGTGAATTTTTATACATTCCTGCAGACAACAGTGTATAACATTGATGTGGGGAAAATGAAGGAGTCACCCAGAGTTAAAGACTTGAGAGCAAGACTGCTTAACCAGCAAGTAGCATTCTCACCCTGTGAGTAAGAAGCTATAACAATGCTGACCTGTTTCATGTGTCAGAAAAATTATCCCAGCAGTCAGCAGTTGATTTCACATTTAAGAGTTGAACATGGTTACTATCCTGGACCCAAGTTCAAATTGTTTTGTTCTCAGCAATGCTGTAGGCATCAGTTCCTAACATATGCAGGTTTTCGAAAGCACCGTAATAGTGTTCAGAGCATTTTTCAGCAAACTCAAACTTCAACTGTTGCATGTTCATCTAGTGAGCCAGTTGCAACTTCATCTCAGGCACATACTTTGGAGGACCAATTTATTCCACAAAATCAATGTAGTTCTTCCAGTATTTCTTCTGAGGCCAATGATTCAGGACTTACTAAAGATCCAACTAAAGAAATGTGTGCATCCATCGTGGCCAAATTACAGGGGAGTGGGATATCCAACAGTTTGGTATCCTCAATTGTAGGAGATTTGGAAGAACTAACGAGTGAACTTCGCTCACAAGCAAAGCATACAGCTATTTCTGCTTTACCTATAACTGACCCCAACATATCTGTGATAAATGAATCTTTTGAAGATTATGAAAATCCGTTTTCAAATCTGAACACAGAATGGAAACGAAATAAATACTTCCACCAAAAATGGGGAGTTGTTGAGCCAGTAGAAATAACACTGGGAGTGAGATATGACAACAGGCGAAATCAGAAATCCGGTACTTATGATCAAGTACCTGTGAAGGATACTTTTATCTATGTGCCAATTTTAGAAACATTGAAGTTCATGTGCAGAAATCCAGACATTTGTGTTTTGCTAAAGAAGGAGTGTAGATCAGAGCCTGACACTTATACTGACTTTTTTGGTGGAAGTTATTTTAAAACCCACCCTTTGTTTACAGCTAATAAACATGCATTGCAAATTCAACTATACTATGACGATTTTGAAACAGCCAATCCCCTTGGCTCCAAACGTGGAATACACAAAATTGGCTGTCTTTATTTTGTTGTAAGAAATTTGCCCCCAAAATTTAATTCGGTTTTGATGAACATTCATTTGGTATCACTTTTTCACACACAAGATCTGCGCAAGTATGGTTTTGATGTTATACTAGAACCGTTGATAAATGATGTGAAAAAACTAGAAAGCCAAGGGCTAAGTCTTCCATTTGTAGATGAGCAGGTATATGGTACAATCTGTCAGATTACTGGAGATAATCTAGGGATGCACACAATTCTTGGTTTTAATGAGTCATTTAGTAGCCGTCATTTCTGTTGCCTTTGTTTGATTGAGAAGAATGATTGTCAAACGGTATACAGTGAGGATGATCCTAAAGTGATCCTTCGTGGAAAAGATATGTTTGATATGCATTGCCAGTCTCTCCAGGAAAACCCACAATTTAAGTCACTTTATGGTTTGAAAAAAAGATCTGCACTTAATTCATTGAAGTATTTCCATGTTTGCAATAACTATTCATTTGATATCATGCATGATCTTCTTGAGGGTGTGGTTCAGTATGAGATCAAATTGCTTTTTGGATATCTCACACAACACTTTATGTCAGAACAAGACTTGCTTTCCAGGATTTATGGTTTTGATTATGGATTTTTAGAACGAAAAAAATCGTCCTACAAAGATTATTTTGGAGAGTGCTGGCAATGGCATTGGTTTGAATTCTATTCAGACATTGTGTCTTGTGAAAAACATCCCACTGTTGTTTGGTGAAATTATTCCTGCAGGAAACAAAAACTGGAATTGGTTACTGTTGTCAAATAATGAACATAGTTTTTTCACCTTCTCTCACTCTAGGTATGACAATATATTTAAAGCATTTGATTGTTGACCACCACAAACTATTTAAGCACTTGTATCCACATAGAAACGTGATACCTAAGCATCATTTTATGATCCATTACCCATCTTCTATAAGGAAAATTGGCCCCTTATTATATACGTGGTGTATGAGGTTTGAGGCCAAACACAAGCTGTTTAAAGATTCTTTAAAAAATTTCAAAAACATAACCAAATCGCTTGCTATAAAGCATCAGATGGCCATTGCTTATCACTGGGAAACCTTCACCCTCAAAAAAAATGAGTATGGGCCCATTAAATCTTTTCTCTTCAGAGATGAGAATGTGGTCAACAATGAAATGCTTGAAACAATCTTGTCAAAAGATGTTTTCTCAACTAGTTGGGTTAAAGTTGATGGTGTAGAGTATAAAGCTGGACTAGTTATTTGCAGTGCAATGGAAGAAGACATGCCAGTCTTTTGTCAAATAAGTGATGTACTTTTGGTTGAAGATCACTTATTTTTTTTGACAAACAAGCTATTTACAGAGAATTTTGATGACCATCATCATGCATTCAGAGTATTACGAAGTGCGGAAAGATGTTTACTAAAAATGTCTTAGCTTAAATTTCAAAAACCGTTTGATATTCAAAGCTCATACAATGTTTCGGATGAAAGTTTGTACATTATACCTTCATTCACAATGTTTTAATTCAACTGACTGCAAGGGAGAAAAGGAATAAATGTTTTTGAAAATGTTTTTGTTTATTGTGATGAATTCTTATTAATAGAAGTATATATTTAATTAATACATTTAAAATTAATTTTAACATTTTTTCAGTGTAGATAATTGACACATTAGGGAGTGTAATTAACACTACCAAAATAGTTTAAAAAATTAACTCGGAGCAGTGTTAGTTGTCTAATCCCTCAGTGTTATTTTAACACTGTTTTGTGAGTTAATAAAGGAACTCTGGTAGAGTGTTAAATGTTTAACTATTTTGAAAGTGTTAATTTAACTCTGGAGAGTGTGGAGCTATATAAACTCTCAAAAAGTGTTGAAATCAACTCTGTGGGAGTTAATTCAACACTGGACTTTTTGCTGTGCTCCCTTCGCTTTGAAAATCTACACTCATACTCCACGTTGACAAATTCGGTGCTCTCCGCAAGTATTTGCGTTAAAGTTCATATTGTTTGACCTACCCATATGGATCCTTTAAACAAAGGATGATAGGAAGTGGCACTGTTTTGTGTCCTTTTGAACGCCGCTGTAGAGGGCAGCTCTGAGAAGCTTCACCTCGGACTGATAAAAGCGATGAGTTATCGCCTTGTTTATCCTGCTGTTGAAACTTGGAGTGCATTATCAAAGGAGAAGCCAATGGAAGAGTATTAGAGAGCATATTTTTAAAATCTTGTAAATCTCGTGAATTTATGTCATCGTGACTCGGGGACCTCACCTTGCCCTTCTGGTTTCTATTGGCATTGACCCCCCCCAAGTCACGCAGTCTGTAACTGTGAAGTGGTGTCGCTTCCTCTCTCTCTTTTTTTCTTTCTCCAGCCAGGATTTAGCATGCTGACCCCCTGGCTCTCCGAGAGGTGCTCATGGTCTTCTCAGGCTCTGGGGAGGTGGCCAGAGCATTAGGCCGGGACCCACTCATCTGCAGCAGTCCCTTTCTAATCAAATAAGGCTGTGAGGGATTGGCTTTAAATGCTGGTGGCCCGGATGTGATGGCGTGTGTGAGATTGACAGGCCGTGATGAGCAGGACGTCGGCAGGGTGAAAATACCATTAATGGTATTGCTCATTTCTCAAAGTGGGGGGTGGGAGGGGGTGGGGGGGGGTGGCCACGCTGTCGGCGGAGTTTTGAAACTTTTCATATTTCTATTGTCTTAAATAGGCAGCGCCTAATGTCCAAACATAATTGTTCCAAGATCAAATGGAATATTTCTAATGAGTTACATTGTTTTCATTGTTACTAATTGTCATTGACATTACGTCTAACAGTGGTTGATTGTTAATGGTTTTAAAGGGTTTCTATTGTTCCCTCATTGCAATGAAGTTGTTTTTTTCTGTCTATCTACAGTTTCCCAGCTGCTGGATTACCACAAGTTGTCTAACCGCTTTCCATGAGATCAGTGGGACTCAGCGCTGCAGTTTTTTCTCAAAAAGCCGGAAGAGTGAGGGAGTACACCGTCTTCAGAATGGATAGACACAGTGTGAATTTGTGTGAATTTTTTCTAATTTGGAGTCTGCACATGAGCCAAAGTTTTCTTTGGATGTTCAATTGTAAAGATTGTGAAGCTTTATCTTGTGTTGGTTTATCCGTTTTCATTTCTTTGAAATCAGTTTGATGTTTGTGATTATTTGCACAAAATATGTTGTTTGTCCATTGCATTCAGAAAACAAACTATTCCATTTAATGTTTATACAGGCCTTATGTTAGTTTAAGATGGAAAAAAGATCCATTTCATAGCAGTCACCATCTAGAACTAAAACACTTACTTATACTGTAATTTATTATTTGCCACGGGTCTCATAAAAACTGTTGTTGTTTAATATATTGCCTTTGGCTACTTCTGAATGGCCAGAATGTTATTTCTTAGAATACCAGCCTTGATGGTCAGCTGAGGATTATATTTTCAAGTTCACATCTTTTTCTTTTCTTTATCTCTATTAGGAGGCAGATGTAAATATTAATATAATTTATTGAGTTATTTACCTTCATGTTAAATATAGTAAATATGCCTGTCCATTGTTGTAATTCACTTTTAATCAGTGTAAACTGTTGAATTGATATCATGACTGAAATATAACAAAGATGAACACTTGGTGGTGACTCATTTTCTGTCAGTTACTCTCATGAACTTGAATAATTAAGATTCCCTTATTTAGTCTTTGGACAAATGTAAATATAACAAATTAGATTACTAAATCTCAAAGAAATGTGAATATGAGCTGTTGTTAAATCTGCTTGAATGCCCTTGATGTCCCCATAAACGGACATAAACTAAATATTTTTTATAAGAGGAAGCCATCGTCTGTACCCTGCATTATACGAAAGCTATTAATAGCTTTTAGTCAAATAAAGATTAGGTTTTTTGTATTCCAAATGGTTATTTACACCATTAATCTGGCCCCAGGCAGACAATCAACCAGCATGTTCAGGCATATTTAGAAACAGATTTGATGGGAATTAAAATAAAAACTCATAATCATAAACTGTCCTCCGTATTTTCTACAGATTGAAACTGCTAGAATTGTTATCTGGCTTTTCTCCTTTTAGAATGAAGCCATCGTTGATGTTGAAAATTTGGGAGCTGCTTAATATATTAACTCTAAATATATTCTACCTTTTCAAAATCAACAGTTCCAATCATCACTTCTACTTGCAACTTAAAGTTCTTACATTGACTCGCACCACCACGTCACAAGGACGCGTCTGCACTTCCTTCACTGATAGAAGGCGATCCTCCCCAACAAATTGCGGAGGTGTAGTGTGTCAGTCCCGGCTTGACCTGCGTGCTCTCTTGTCCAGCGGCTGTTTGCCGTCCAGGATTCCTGCAGGAATGAAAATAAACTCCAGACACGCCCGGATGCGTCGGCGCGCTGAGAGTCCCGGCAGCGCTGCGCCGGCCGCGCGTTTTGTTTTGGGTCCATTCAGTGGATCCTTTGCAGGTGATGCCAGATGTAGATAAGCGGCCGACGCTGGCTGTCCCGTATCTAGACTTGTAACCGCCGCTGTGACATTTGTCTAAATAACACCAATTTGATCGTTTTTATCAGCCTGGCGTGAGGATTTTATGCGAAATCTGCTGCAGACAGACTTATGGGCTTTTCCAAAAGAAAGCTATAATCACGTGAGGGCCCGAACCGAAGAGACCTCGGCCCATGGCTTTAACGACCTTTGACCCAGGGGCCATCAGTCACTGATCCACTTGGCTCAGAAACTGAGCAGGTCAAAATTTAAGCAGGGCCTTTACCTGAGGCTTTAGTTTGCTAAGGCTCGCAGACAGAACGGAACTTGACAAAATATCTCAATATTAAATTTATAATCTCCCAAAGTATATATGTATCCATTTATTATATGAACTTTAGGCATATAGGCACCGTATAGCTTGATCTTTAGTCTTATATATAAAAGTTGCATTTTAATCTAAATAGCGGAGCTCCACCACTTCAAGACTCGATTTTTAATTCCCCTTAAAACTGATTTATTTCGCCAACTATAATGATAAGAAAATATCTTATGATTTACAGAACAAATGGAATATTGCATGCAATAATCAGTTCAATTTTAGGGATTTATTGATAAGATTGGCTATGTCTGTCGTCATAATAAATAATAATAAAAATAACTTATTTCCTGGAGAAAACGCGAACAATGCACATCGCTCCTGTTTCATTCATTTACAAGAGTCAATATTGAAACAAATCATGCACATCTACACAATTTGGTTCCTCAGAAACATTGTGACCTTCAGAAGTCCATTTCAGCACAATGTGTTTAAATCCCGTTACACATTCAGCATGTTTCGGCCCGTCCAAGCATTGGCATCATGGTAGAAGGTCTCAAAAACCCATGGTGTCCATCACCAGCTGGGGAACCGGCCGAAGTATCCTTGCGCAAGACGGTGAGCTAAAATGGCTAAACTGAAGGGAATAGTCAGACCTCCCATCCTCCAGTGTGTAACCTGGATGTATCTCCTCGAGTATAATCCGCCCTGGTCCTTTAATTTGTTTTTCTCTGATTAAATGTCACTGAGGTCTGTGCGCGTCCCCTGCAGCGGGTGCGCGCATGGGTGGGTGTGGGGGGGTTACAGGCCGACCTCGAGGAGCCTTCACGTGTCGACGGGACTCGGCACCATGCTGTTCGGTGTGTCCGGTAGCTGAGACGAGAGTGAGATCACATCACTGGCCGAGGAGTTGCCCAGGGAGCCCGACTCGAAGAAAGACACCTGCAGCACGGAACAAAAGGGGTTTAAGAGGGTTTCTTTCGTTTTCTTTACCGATTTACTCTTTGGTGCGAAAAAAAAAACATTCTCAGGTGCCCTTTTTAAAAATGCCAATACAAATCGACTTGTCAAGGCTCGTGAATCCCGCGAGACCTCGTCAGCAAGCGACCCACGTGGAATCTACAAAAAATTGATACACATTTGTGCGCAAGTTCGCATTTTAATAACTGGGAAATCAAAGGCGTAAACATTAAATAATTGTTTCTGTACCCAAGCTGTGTCTTTTAAAGCGAATTATATCTGAATTATTCTTTGCTATGATATAATTGTAACAAAACCTTACATTCCCCTTTGTATCATTTTGAACGAGCTATTTTAAATGTAATATCCCGACTGCCATCGTACCAGCTGTTGGAAAGCGGGCTGGTCCAGGTCGCTCTGCAGGGCAAAGTCGCTGAGAGTCTTCCACGGTGGCTGGTAGGTTTGGACCTCCACAGGATTCCCCTGCACGGTGTTGTCGTGCCGGATTGGACTACCTGCCACCAGAGGTGTGCCTTTCAGTCCCTGCAGATTCTACAAGAGCACCGAAGCAGTTAGTTCCACCCAGATATTGACCACGCAATACATTATGCTGGTGAGCCCTAACGATGTAAATAATATATTTTTGTTTATCAATCAAAAGGAACAAAAAGCCATTTTTGAGCAACAACCAGAAAACGTGCAAGAAAATTGTTATTTTCATGATCATTTTTGACTTCTCTGTAAGAATGCACATTCGCTTCTAATGAGCCTGGTCTAAATCTAATCTAAATGTTGCAAAAAATAAAATGATACATTTGGTTTAAGGTGGTCTGTTGTGAAACATGCAATTAATATTCAATTCTTAAAAGATGTCAGCTCAACATTCTTACTAAATTGACAATGATCGTCTGATACATTCTCAGTTCTCGTTCTCAATAGTCAGTATAACATATGTTTATGTATCAGTGTTTTCTATCCGGCAGTATTTCCATTTAACAACTTATTTTTTTATTTTATGAAGATAATAACGTTGCACATGAACATTATCTCATTATCGTTTATACAGACCGTTGATTTTTTTTTTAATTAGAGGACAATTTAGTTTTAGGGAGCAATATATTGAGTAAGATAAAAACTAATAAGGTGTGGCGAATTCAGAAAGTAGTGTAATATAATAATGCATCCTTATCTTTTTTTTGAAAATATAAAAGACAACATCACCCACGGTTTTCTCGCTGTGTTGCTGTGTTTGGAGCTGCTTCATCAGGATGGACCTCTTCTTGTCTTTGCAGCGCTTGTTCTGGAACCAGACGCGGATCACCCTCGGGCTCAGGCCGGTCATCTCCACCAGCTGCTCCTTCATCAGGGCGTCCGGTCGCGGGTTGGCGTTGTAGCAGGTCCGCAGGGTGTGGAGCTGCTTCTCGTTCAGCACGGTCCGGATCCGAGTGGTCTTCTCGGACTGCTTGTGGACGTGGCTGCGGTGATGAGGAGGATGTCGGACAGAAACTGGTTCTGGAAAAAGGGGGGTGGGGGGGTGTTGAATTAGAATCTTAAAAATAAATAGGAAAAAAAATGGTTGATGCCTGAGAAATTAAAGCGACAATAGCTTGGACTTAAAAACACCCAAATCTGTCTGTATGAAATTAAAAAACATTAAATTATACCCACAAAAATATTAGGGGTCTGTACGTCTTTGCCGCCATATAAAACTCCAGACTAAACAATACATTTTCAAAAATTATATTTAATATTTTTATTTTAAGCTTATACGCGCACACACACTATTGTTATTATTCAGTCGATTGCTTAGAATTTGCCTGTGAAATATAAAAAAAAAAAAGGAAAATACATTTGAAAGTCTAGATTAACTCAATATCACTGCTAATAATATCCTTACAATCATACTAATCATAATAACAGCTCACTTGGTGTACCGTACCTGAGATGTGCAGCTGTCTGCTGTGGATGTTCCCCGGGCTGAGCGGGCTCCCTGCAGAGGCCCGCTCCGCCAGCGAGCCGTGATCGGCCCGACACACCAGCTCGTCGTCCCGCAGAGAGAACTCGTCCCCCGGTAGGAGGTGGCGACTGCACACCGAACACCGAAAACACTCCACGTGATACACATTGTCCCGAGCTCTCATCACCAGGTCGCTGCTGCAGAAGCCCATGTTACACTTTGCACATTTGATGCCAAACAACCTGAAAAGGAGCACGGAGACTACGTTGGTCTCATGCGGTACCTCGTATAATGTTGCGGGCTGAACGAATCTGACGTTGATCTCATTTCTTGTTTCAATCAAACAGAAACGCTACAAAGTTATAGCGCGAATGCCTTCCAGTGCGAATCTCATTCAAGGTCTGTAGGTCATGCCGCACACTTCTGCGCACTTTCATTCACACCGTGCGCATTTGTCTTTCAAGTGGAAATTGTTTTTATGAGAACGTTATTTATCTCAGCTCAGGAGCCCGTTTTCTACACGTTTTCTTATTACCAACCCAAACCCAAATCAAGGAGAGTAAACAAAAAAACAATCCTGAAAACTGTTGCACTCTACCTTGCGTAATCTCTTTTACAATACGTCTTTCCGTCTCGGACGAAGCAAGTGCAGGTCTCGTCCAGGTACTGGCTGCACTCTGCACACTTGAGGCAGGCTGCGTGCCATTCCAGGTCCGGGGAGACTCTCAGGATGTACTGGTCGTGTATCTGACTTCCACAGCCCACACACATCGCGAATCCCGATTTCTCTGCGTGAGGAGTGGAACGCATTAATGCAATGCTGCGCGCGGTCTTTTAATCCCCCATGACATCCCCGTTAACCCCCCCCTTCGCCCCGAGGAGGGGCGAAGGGGGGGTTTAAATTATACCCACATTTTACAACAAACATAAAGGGTTCTTCCAAGAATATTACAAACCTGTTAGAAAGAGGTTACGGGAGATTAAAAAAAGGAAACCCGCGACAATCGCAGCACAGATACAACACATTCAAAGGGATATTAGCCCAAGAATATGTATATATTAGTGAACTCTTCGTGGGACAGTTGATCACACCGTACATTATTATGTGGGGATTTAAAAAAATGAATCGAGCAATGAATCACCAATTGCTAGAGGCTACACACCGAGTACATAAAAGGAAATGAAAACCTCTCAACAAACCCCGGAATGACAAAAAAAAGTAGCAAAGAGAGAAAGAACTTACTTTTGGAATGATCCCCCATATCATCCAAGAAAGAAGAATTGAGCAGGATATCCACCATGCAGGAGGAGTAGCCCGGTGCAAGCCGATAGATGGAAGAGAGGAGCGCTAGAGGAGACCGTCCCTGGCTGGATGATAAACTTGTATTCCTCCACCGAGAGGGGAGAGAAAACAAAGATCCTCGACCAGTGACGTCTGCAGACCTGGACCTCTGTTGGTCCGGGGGAGAGGGAGCCATGCAAATCTCTTGGACCCCTGCTTCTTCTTTTTTTTGACTTTGGATTGGCTCTGGGATTTTTTTTCCTAATTGTTTTTTTTGTTCCACAGCGCTGCTGTCTCTATTTCCTTAAACGAAAGCCATTTCTCTGTTAACATGTAGAGTAATTGGGAAGCTATTCTAAGTCAGCTTTGCCGTTGTTATTTATTTTCCCATACAATAATATTTACCTATGGGCTAAAATTGTTTAGCATAAGCTTAGCCGTGTCAATATTCTTATTACGGGGGATTATGTGTTTTGGTTTCTTTTATGTAAACAATAATATATTGTTGGATTCCAAGCTAAATTCAGAGTTGAACATGTACAATGTTTGGTATTGCTGTTCATGATTTTGTTACATAAAATTAAGTCATGAAGTATGAAAATTATACTATACTATTATTTCTGGTATAATAATAATAACTCTTATTGGTGACATTGGTGAACAACGGTTGTTATTACCTACTGATTGGTTTGTCTAGTAAGTATTTTGTGTTAATACGAATTTTTATGAATTTAACTTAATGCTGTTTAAATTGAATAACCAACAGTCTCGGGTACTGTAGAGAGCCCTCTACTGGATAAAATATCTCGCACAGATCCCCCCAGCGGTCAATAAACTCCACGCTATTTGAGATCTGGAAATATTTTCTTTTCTTTTTTAAATGGAGAGCCCTGGCCACAATAATGAAAGGCTGTAAGGAGCAGGAGCCGGATCAGTTCCTCTACCATCACACACACTTAATAGCTATACTAGCTGTTCAACTTCAATATAATAAATAGTATCTTACTACACAGAAAAATATTGTCCCATATTGGATTTTTGTTGTTGTAAGCATTTGCAACTAATTTCAGGGTTATACTATTCAACATGATTTATCAAATGTATTATTGTTGGTGTACGCGGTGTACGTGGTATGTACGCCTTTGAAGATGCATAATTGTCAGGAATCAGGAAATCAGGATCAGGAAACATTTATTTGCCAAAATATGTCAAACATACAAGGAATTTGTCTTGGCGGTTAGTGCGCGACAGTAGACAGACAAGACAACAGTGCACAAGTAATAAAATAAAGTGGAATGAAATGCTAATGCAATGGGTTAGTAGAATAAGGCTAGGCTATGGGTTAGTATAAAACAAGGGAATAAAGTTAACATTTTTAAATATTAGAAAGTTAAAAAGAAAAATATTAAGCATAAAGTGCACTAACGAACAAGTAACAGACAAGAGACAAAGTGACGAGTGACGACAAATCAATACCTTATTTAGGGTGAAATCGAACCAAATATTAATCCTATAGACCATGTTACGAATCTTACATATCGTGAATGCGCCCATGTGTTATAATAAAACGTCAACTCTGTTGTTTAAAAAAAGAAGCGTTGCAGCTGTTTGAGAGATAACGGAGAGTGACCGGAAGTCGTCACCTTCCACCTCGCGAGAACTCAAAGCCTACGTCACGTTACCTTTGACATAGATTTGTTTCTGCACCTGAGAAGCACGCAGCCAGAAGGGTCCAAGATGAACAGAGCTTTCAACAAAACAAGTCTGAAACAGCTGGTAAGAGCGTGACAGTTACAACTCGACAGCGCAGACAGATGTTGCACTGATGCGTCCTCGCGTAACGTTAGCTCGGTGGTTTGTTGGTTTTAGCTGCAGCTGCTAGCTTGCTAGCTAACGTTAACTTAGATGCGTGCTCCTCTGGCTAGCCGTGGTGTCGTTTTATGAATTCCTCTGCGATTACGTTTTGTGAATTACGTCGACCAACACTTGTATACATATTGTCATGTTGCAAGAATATGGTTAGGTCTGCGTTTGTCTTTCGTTCGAGCTTGCTGGTGTTAGCACAGCTAGCCTAGCATTTATGCAACCAACGTTAACAGCAGTTACGAAACTCATTGACGCAGCGGATGATACTAAAATATTCCCCGACGAACCGCTTCTCCCGTGGGACGTGTAGCAGTGACGTCATAGGATCCAATAACTCATCAAGTAACGTAGCGTGTGAGATCTGCTGTTGTTTGTTTGACTGGATTGAAACGACCTTCAGAAAGTGCCGTGGTCCAGTGCTGTCCAGATGAAGCTGTTTCCCTCTGACCAAAGGTCGTAGCCTGCTGTTGCCCTCGAGCAATGAGGATTTGCACCAACCCAACTCTCTAAATCCTAGAAAAAACACTGTACACACTTGGGACATATTGCAATACAAACAAATAGAGGCACTGCTCACACATCATTGATCAGGTGTAAAAAATGACGGGGAAATACATATATTTCTTAGTCATTTATTTATTATTGGATTATATTTTCAATTTAGCAAAAACTAATTTAAGAAAAACAGGATGGCAGTGAGTGATACCGTGACAAGCTCTGGTCTTCCTGCCAATTTATACAACATTGAATGTTATAAGAATTGTCATAATCTGACACAAGGGTTAAAAAAACACCAGATTGTTGGTTTTACTGGTCCATAAGTCTATTTGATACTGAAATGTGGACATTTTCTCCTACAGACTGGTGTCCTCCAAAGGTTTCAAAGCACCTTGGTGGTTGCAGAGCACAACAATGAAAAGTTGACCCCTATTACACTCAATGCCATCACTGCTGCCAGTAAGCTGGGTGGAGATGTGTCCTGTCTTGTTGCTGGAACAAACTGTGCACAGGTAGGCAGAACTTTTTAGATTCAACTGTTATTTTGGCAATTTTGTACTGCATATGGCTAATATAGATAAATAAAAACACCGTATGAATGTATACAATGCATTCTTAATGTAAATGGAGCAATATGTCTAATAGAAGAACCTCCGTTGTTTTTGTTTTCTCAGGTTGTAGAGCAAATCAGAAAAGTACAAGGCGTGAATAAGGTTCTGGTTGCTCAACATGATTCTTACAAAGGTTCCCTGCCAGGTATGTGACACTCAAGATAATTGACGCCTTTTGTAATAGAACTTAACCAGCAACAAGGAACTGTATATTTGCACAGTCCTACATATATTCACAGCTGATTCATGTAGTGCTCAAGGAAGCATTGGAGGTTTGTATGTGTGCTGTGTTCAAGTTGTCTAGAACTAGCTTAGCAAAAACCATGCATGACTTTTTATTTTTTTTATTGTTTGCCTCAGAGGAGCTGACTCCACTTATCCTGGAAACTCAAAAGCAATTCAAATTCACTCACATCTGTGCTGGTGCATCTGCCTTTGGAAAGGTAAGTAATGGAGAGGGAGTCCTGCACAAATTGCAGATGTTGGAATTGCAACCTTATGTTTTCACTACATAATTGTTGCCATAATCTTGGCAATACCTTGTTTTATAGTGCATTTTGACTTTTGTAACTATTTAAGAGATTGCAGATTATTTAGCATCTTATTTGGGTATTAACATGATACCAATATTCAATTTGCTGAGCAGAATTATTGTCAGTTTTTTTTATTGCGACACCCCCAGTCACAGTATAGTATGTCATACTATACATACAATACTCTATGACAAACTTTTCTCAATTTCATAGTGAAGTATAGAAAGTTATAGTAAATCAAAAAGTCATTGTAACACATAAAAAGTCATAGTATAGTATCCTTACATAAATAAAATATTAATTAATTAATTTAGTCATGGCCTGGTTTTTAAATTAAGGTTAATCTTTGCATTTTTAATTCCCCCAGAACCTGCTTCCCAGAGTGGCTGCCAAGTTGGATGTATCTCCAGTGTCAGATATTATTGAGATAAAGTCTCCGGACACTTTTGTCAGAACAATCTATGCTGGTAAGCGTTTTTTTTTCTTCCCCTTATGATAAAGTAACCAATCTTTACGTCAGAAGATGTCTTGAATCATGGTACCTGGATAAAGTACAACTTTGATGTGCAGATAAACACAGCTGATTTTTTGCAACCGGAATGTTGACTTGGAAGTTTATAGTAAAAATGTATCTCTTCTTTTCAAATATGACAAGTTAATCATATTTTGATTGTGTAGGAAATGCTCTCAGCACGGTGAAATGTAACGAGTCGGTCAAGATCGTCACGGTCAGAGGCACGTCCTTTGAGGCGGCACGGTAGCTTACAGATTCATCCAAAAAGCTCAGACCGTGTATGCAAAGAAATGACTTGATGTATTATTGTTGTTGTTTTTCATCATAACAAAAAAGATCAATATACATTTAACAAAAAACAACCACAAAAGTTATTTTTTCTTCATTTTAATGCAATGATCATCATTGTTGTTTTTGGTCCTCATTACTTGGCTGTAGTTGGTTCTTCTTCTCCTGCTGGAGTGTCTGAGTGGCTGGAACAGATTCTGACAAAGAGCGACCGCCCAGATCTGACCAGCGCTAAGGTCGTGGTGTCAGGAGGTGAGACCTCTTTCGTCTTCTGAATTACAACTTGTGGCCAACACAATGCTACCTTTCGTGTGTGTTGTTGTCTTTTGTTGTGAATTATTTTGTGTGCTCTGTCAGTTCTCCTTTGCTAGGTGGTATAGTGGTGTTTTCTCTTCGTAGGAAGAGGCTTGAAGAGTGGAGAAAACTTCCAGCTGCTTTATGACCTTGCAGACAAGATGAATGCTGCAGGTAAAATGGAATTTCATTTTCTTTTTCATTAATCTATTTTTAATTTGTATTTATACTCATGAAGAGTTCAAATTGCATGTATTATTTTTGTAGTTGGTGCATCCAGAGCAGCAGTGGATGCTGGTTATGTCCCCAATGACATGCAGGTTGGACAGACAGGCAAGATAGTAGCACCTGTAAGTTATTTGTTTTTCTGAAGTGAATGACTAATGAAATATTTTTTTTAAAGCATTGTTTAACGGCAGGAAACACTTTGACTCGGATCAGAGTGGACAGGTCTGTCACGTTTGACAAATACCTGTTTACGATTACACAGAATGGTTGCAATCCAGTATGATACGGTTAGCTGCTCGGCCGTTTCTAAAAAGGTTAACTTCCCATTATGGGATTCGGCCGGGTTACCTCAGCTGTAATTATCCACACATTAGCCTCGGTAAAATGTACTCGATGGCACATTTGGAGCCTAAATGATTTAGCTGTTCCATTAAAGCCGAGTGCACTTTATGTCTGGGCATCGCATCCGGCGAGGACTGATGGTCCAAATTAGATTTTCCAAATGTTATGACTAGCTTGTTGAATTTGGCTAAGTTGATTTAAATATGAGATATATTTTTATTATGTTGTGTACTATGTAATATGTATATTATGTAATATTTAGTATGTATACATGTAAAATATTCTTGTCTGCTGATTTATTTTCTATTTATCGTTTCAAAATGTAGTGGAAACATCAGAATGGGTGTAGTTCTAAAATGCTGGTCACTTACCATCTTCACTAGTGAAGTGATGATTCAGATATGAATTTATTGACTTTCCACAGACATGCAAATCTTTTTTCAGAGTTTTATTTTGTTAAAAAAAAGACAAGTCAGCGGTCTGCTCGTAGGTACACGCCCTTGGAAGGCCTGAGATTCTACATTGACAGTTGAGTAACACTTTGTCCGGTGGTCTTCTGTTCGTGCCCTCAGGAGCTGTACATTGCTGTTGGCATCTCTGGAGCTATTCAGCACCTGGCTGGAATGAAAGATAGCAAGGTAAAGTCAGTGCAGAAACCTTAACAGGCCCTCCTCTTTCTGGAATACAATTTTCCACTCTGTTTCATGGCAGCCGTAGCTTAGAGTTTAGTCAGACATATGGCAGAATTTGTAAAAATGGCAGTTGCTTTGCTCAAAGAGAAGGAGAAACTACAAACATAACTCTGGTTGACAAACCCTTTGATATCATGTTTGGATACTTCTGTGTTTGTTTGCAATTAACAACTAAGTATCAGTGTCCTAAATTGTACCATTTTTTTGATATTTTGCATTTAAGCATAATTGTTTTTCTGTTGATTGAATGATCATAGTTTTAAGCAAAAGACACTGGCAGTCAATCGTCTTTTACGGTTTGTTCATTGGGGCTCCACATTTTCTATTTTTCTATTCAGGTTATCGTTGCTATCAACAAGGACCCGGAGGCTCCGATTTTCCAGGTGGCTGACTACGGCCTGGTCGCTGATCTGTTTAAGGTAGGTGGTTGGTAATGTTATGTCACCACGGCCGTAAATTAGGAAACAACCATCGTTCACCATCTGCTGGACTTTGGGGTTGAGTCAGAGTCTAACATCTGCTCTCTCACTGATACATTTTGCAAGATGCCTGTTGAATTTTTAAGTTCTTAAATTAATCAAAGGACAGTTGTGGCTGAGCTTGCCGCGAAGAAAGAAACACAATAACACATCAAAACATATAAAAAGTGATTTACGGGTCACTCGAAAGTGGCTTCACTCTTGTATTGAGCTTCTACTTTCCAGGATTCTTACACGCTTAGTTGCTTTCTTGTTTCCAGCTGGTACTTGAGGAGAGCGAGCCAGGACTGTTGGCACAACTCACACTCCAGTCCAGGCTAGTAGATCATAGTTTCACATGTTTTATTTAGCTCCTTCTGAGCAGCCCAGGTGTCCTAAAAAATTAGTAATAATAGCTAGTGGCAATAGAGTTGTGACCTGCAGGGTGAGATCACCTTACATGTGATGAGTCCTCGGATAGCTGATTAAATGGATGGGCTTTCTACTTTACCCCAGAAAGGACAATTGATACCTCGCGACAAATTTGGGTTGTGACTGATAATTCAGTTCTAAAGTGGCTGGGCCCCCAAGGATTGCCATCTGAATGACTTATAATATATCTTCTTCAAAACTACACACACTGGCATTACCAGTGTGTTTATGGCCTTGATGCCTCTCCTTTTAAAATCTTGTTCAGTCAACATTCTCATTTAAACAAACCAGCATGCGTGATGGTATGAAATGTAAATGTTAAATATTGTATTCTAAAGTCTCCGTACTGTGTTCTCAGGCGGTTCCCGAGATGACCAAAGCACTGGACAAGTGATAGAGACCACCGGGTCCCTCAGTCGCTGCCTCAACAAATACATGAAGCACTAATCCCCTACATCAGCGATTACCAAAGTGTGGGCCGCGAAGGTACTGCAGGTGGGCCGCGAGAGGTCATTTACAATAAATAAATGAAAAGTTTTTAATTTTCAATTTTGAAAAAATTAATATAAAAACATGTATGATGCGGCACATTAGTTATGTGAAACATTAATTGATGAAGCACAAACAATTTAAACAAACAGATTGTTGATCCATACTGGTTGTACACGGCGCTCAAGGCGCTCTGCCAAACATGCCAAAGCTCGTCTACGACGGCGAGATGCTGAGCGGCGCTCAAGCGCGTGAGATATGGAGCTGCTTTCAGGGCGCGTCGGAGAAACAAAGCTGTCGTTCTCGCCGAACACATAATGAGATTAAAGAGCGAGAGACGGTGCCCTTTTCTCTACAGTAGATGAAACATCTTAACGGGGAAAATAAGTTATTCTAAAAGCAGCCGAAGATTTAAGGCGTGGATGGCGAGGGGGGCGGCGGGAGCGGACGCACCTCGCAGCATCGATCGTACCCTGAAAGCACCGTCTCCACCTTACTGTCAGAAAGAAAAACAGCGAGCGCGTAGAAAACCCCTTCGAGCGCGAGCAGAGATTCTCCTCGCGAGCAACGAAGTTCACTTTTCGCAAGCGAGCAAATACCTCGCGGAGACGGACTTTTGCTCGCGGATGTTTGATTTTGGTTAAATTCTTAAGGTCATTTAATCATTATGTTTTGATCAAAGTTGTGATTAAAGGTTTGGGTGGGCCGCGAAAGATTTTCAGATTTCAAATTGGGCCGTGGCATTCTTGAGTTTGGGAACCGCTGGTCTACATATTCTGACTGGAAATGGAAGATCTAATGGAATGCCAGTTTCTCTAATTCAAGTACATTTATACGTACCTGGTGGCGGTGTTATTTCTTTAGCCATGTGGGAATTTGTATTTCATTTTCAGGCATCTCTGTGAAGGCCTGACTGGTCTCTAACCTGGTTGGTTGTATGTTGCTCTTTACACCTCTCAAAGTTCGCACTATACTAGGAAAAATATGTATTAGATCAAAATCTTGAATGTTCATTTACTTTAACATTTTAGTTAAACCCACTCCAATAAATTCAGTATGCGTGGGACATCATTTAGTAAGTTTAGCAAAAATCTTAAACCATTCCAGTAATTACACCTCGATAAAAAGTCTGCCACACTCTACAGATACAAAATGTAACATTGCTTATATAGAAAGAGAAAGATTGGAAATAAGTTGCGACTGATCCAATGTACCCTGCAGCAGTCCCATCGAGAAGGACCGTTATTGTGAGTTTAGTTTCTTTTGGTAAAATGTTTCAGAAAAAGTGTCAATTCCTGATAACAAATTAGCTTTCTCAAGTCTGCGTTTGTGCTCATCCTCTCGCGTTTATGTGCCGGCGGTTCCCGACAACAGTCCTGGGACGTCCACGTCTTCTACGTCTCTGCCAGCCGGTTGACCGGGACGTCGACCGGCTCCATCATCCTGTACTTCTCCTCCAGGAGGGCTCTTCGCCCTGCAGGTGGATGAGCGGCTTGGAGTGCAGCCCGACCCTGCTCTCCTGGTTCCTCTTGTTAAAGATGTTCACCCGGTGCTGGCCTTGGCCGAACCCGCCGGGCTCGACAGCAGCTCCTGCATCACAGCGCAGGGGCCCCCCCGCTGGGCCTGAGCGCTGCCCAGCGCCAGCGTGCTGCTGTACGGCAGCGGGTAGCACTGCTGGTCGCTGTAGTCCGTGGAGGTGGAGGCCTCGCGCACCGTAGAGCTGCCTTCCGTGGTGAGCCCAGCGTGTGGCTGCTGATGCTGTGCTGCCGGACGCTGAAGCTGCTGCGGGACGCCGGCGCGGCGGACGCCTCGCTGGCGGAGCTGCCGGTGCGCCACAGGCGACCGCACGACACTGCGTCCGCGCTCACCAGAGAGGAGGGAAGCTGGCTGGAGTTGTTGGGCAGGTGCACGTCTATGGCCGCTGTGGTGATGAGGACTTGCGCGGGGTCTCAGATCCCCATGTCTACAAGAGCAAAGCACAGTGCTGTGAGACTATGGAAGCGCGCCGTGGGAAAGGGGGACGGCGTCCATGCTCACCGCTGCTCGGCTCACTGTAGTACTGGCTGATGTATTTGTTCATGTCATCCTGACCGTGGTGAACTGAAGAGGAGTTAAAGAAGGGGACATGCGCCGTTATTTGTCTCAGAGGCGAGTCCAATGTTTGACAAGATACACAAGAGAAAAAGGGGAAACAATACTTCCTTTAGTGTATTTACTTCATGCATTATTTTACACAATATACTTTAGTTGTTAATTATATCTCCCCCCAATCAACCCTCCATAAGTGGGGGTTGATTTGTAAACATAATCAATAATAATATAACACTGGTGATATACATCATAGATATATCATATATATATATATATCATATATCATGATATACATATAGAATGTCTTCATGTGAGAGATTATAATTAATGACAAATTCTCTTATCTTAGAAAGGTTCTGACTGTACAACTATTCAGAATGTTGTATTAAACAATTGAATACATGTTTGTCTACTTCTTAAAATTGCCAAAGAGGGGGGACGTCTTGCAACCTAATTTTAGAGATGCAGTTAATTCATATTTTTGTTTTAGTTCATTTAAATAATAATCGCTGCCTGATCTTGGAAAGCTGAAGAGACCGAGGAGCGTGTCTTATTCAACAATAGTGGACATGATGTACTAAAGCTTAGATTCTCCCCGATGATGCAGAGAGCTCACTGATGCAATGACGTTGGGGGTTTCATATGATTACCTGCAGCCCCCCCGGGCTTTCTTGCATTGACTGGGCCGTGGTGGTCGGAGGTCCCGGAGGCCAACCCGTCCACCTCCTGGAAACTGCTCTGTTTGCCCCACATGTGGTGGATTTGCATGGCTGCTTCCCGCTCCGCTACCAGATCCAGGTCCTGCTGGGCCAGGTGGGCTCTCAGCTGCCGGATCTCAAACTGGAATGAAAAAAAGATGAATCTTATAAAAACACAGAAAAACTCATATTCTACTCACTTATACCTCGTTTACTATTTTCCAATTTAGTAGATCAGGAATCAGGATCAGGAATCAGGAAACATTTATTAGCCAAAATATGTCAAACATACAAGGAATTTGTCTTGGCGGTTAGTGCGCGACAGTAGAGAGACAAGACAACAGTGCACAAGTAATAAAATAAAGTGGAATGAAATGCTAATGCAATGGGTTAGTATAAAACAAGGGAATAAAGTTAAAAAAAAGTAAATATTAAAAAGTTAAAAAGAAAAATATTAAGCATAAAGTGCACTAACGAACAAGTAACAGACAAGAGACAAAGTGACAAGTGACAAAGTGATGAATGACAGTTAAAGTGGCATGTGCAGTATGAGGGGGAGTGACCGGTGGAATGTTATAGTCAGTTAGTGGAGGACCGGGCTCTGTTGATGAGCCCGACTGCCGACGGGGAGAAACTGTTCGTGTGGCGGGAGGTCTTAGTCCTGATGGACCTCAGCCTCCTGCCAGATGGAAGGGGCACAAACAGGTTTTGTCCGGGGTGAGAGGGGTCGGCCGCGAGAGACTTCAGAGACCTGGAAGCGAACAAGTCCTGCAGGGACGGCAGATTGCAGCCGATCACCCTCTCTGCAGAGCGGATGACACGCTGAAGCCTGCCCGTGTCTTTGGCTGTAGCTGCAGCGTACCAGACGGTGATGGAGGAGCAGAGGATGGACTCGATGATGGCCGTGTAGAAGTGGACCATCATCGTCTTTGGCAGGTTGAGTTTCTTCAGCTGCCTCAGGAAGAACAACCTCTGCTGAGCCTTCTTGGTGATGGAGCTGATGTTCAGCTCCCACTTGAGGTCCTGGGTGATGATGGAGCCCAGGAAACGGAAGGAATCCACAATAGTGACGGGGGAGTCACACAGGGTGATGGGGGAGGGTGGGGCTCTGTTCCGCCGGAAATCCACAACCATCTCCACTGTCTTTAGAGCGTTAAGCTCCAGGTTGTTCTGACTGCACCACGACACCAGATGGTCAGACTCCCACCTGTAGGCGGACTCGTCCCCACCAGAGATCAGTCCAATGAGGGTGGTGTCATCCGCAAACTTCAGGAGCCTGACGGACTGATGACTGGAGGTGCAGCTGTTGGTGTACAGGGAGAAGAGCAGAGGGGAGAGAACGCAGCCTTGGGGGGAACCGGTGCTGATGGTCCGAGAGGCTGAGACATGTTTCCCCAGCTTCACGTGCTGCTTCCTGTCAGATACAATTGCAGTCACACGTATGAAGTCAAGTTGCTCATCAACTCTCAAACAATATTAAAACATCATTATCAATTTGTGGAGTAGGAAATGCACAGTGCTTGATACCCACAAGACCCCTAAATGTATTCTCTGATGCAGCGATTCTCAAAGTGTGGGCCGCGAGAGGTCATTTACAATAAATAAATAAAAGTTTTTTAATTTTCAATTTTTAAAAGTTTGAAATGAATATAAAAATATTCATGATGCGGCACATTAGTTATGTGAAACATTAATTGATGAAGCACAAACAATTTAAACGGACAGATTAATAAAACAATAAGGCTCTCGCTCGAAACGGCTGCTCTTGTCCGCCTGTTGTTGTTCAACAAACGGGGCGCCCTCTTGTAGTATTAAAGTAAATATACCGCATTTGCCGCACTCCAAGGCAGGGAGGAGCTGAGAAAGAGAGGGTGAGGAAGGGTGGAATAGTGAGAAAAGGAGAGGGGGGATGGCAGGAGAGAAGACGAAAGAAGTAGGAGGAGGAAGAAAGAGGGGAAGAATGGAAAGAGGAGAACAAAAGAGAGGAGGAGGGAGGAAGAAAGAGGGCAGGAATGAAAAGAGGATAAAAAAGAGGGTAAGGAAGGGAGAGGGGGGAAAGAGGGAGGAAGGAAGGGAGAGAGGGGGAGAAAGAAAGCGGAGGAGGAAGAAAGAGGGGAGGAATAGAAAAGAGGAGCAGAACGAGAGAGAGGAGGAGGAAGGGAGAAAGAAAGATAGGGGAAGGGAGGGGGAGGAATGGAAAGAGAGGGTGAGGAAGGGTGGAATGGTGAGAAAAGGAGAGGGGGAAGAATGGGAGGAGAAGAGAAGAAAGAAAGATGAGGAAGAAAGAGAAAGAAGGGGAGAAAGAAAGAGTCTGGGGAAGGGAGGGGGAAGAGAGGGAGGAATGGAAAGACAGGGGGTGAAAGAAAGAGGGGAGGAATGGAAAAAGGAGGAGGGGGAAGGGTGGAATAGTGAGGAAGGGAGAGGGGGAAGAATGGAAAGAGTGGAGGAGAAAGAGAGGAGGAAGAAAGATATTTTTTAACCAGATTCTGACGCTGCCCCACACTCTAGCATCTCCAGGTCTCACTCTAAGAAATGCAACGGAGCGAAGAACTAGTGAAACATAATCAGTGATTATTAAAAAAGTAGAATAGATATCAACAAGCAGTTTTTTTCCTAAAATAGTTGAGACTTTTGTCAACATTTGAAAGTTTAAATGGTTTTTTGTAGCTGAAAGATTTGCGAAGCTGAAAAATCTGAAAGTTGAAGAAGTTTAAGAGGATTTGGAAAACAAACTCCATTTGAAAACCATGTTAAAATATTAATGATTATTGATTTATATGAATTCAAGCTTAAGAGGTAGAAAGCTGAAAAGTCATAGCCCGGAAGCCGGAAAGAACATTTTAGTATTTGAACGGTTTTAATAGCTGAAAGTGTGAAGGAGTTGAAAGGTGCCACGGAAGAAATAGAATAACTAGAAAATGCATTTCCTGCTGAAAATGCGTTGGAATGCAAAAACTGAAATGAATTTTAAAAAATAGCTGAAATTACAGAAATTTGAAGGGAATTTGAATACATTTGCTGAAATTACAGATATTAGAATAGCTGAAATTAATTTGAAATTGCTGAAAATACAGAAATGGGAGAAGCTGAAAGGAATTTCAATAGATTTGCTGAAAAAGCAGAAATGAAAACAGCTGAAATAAATGTGAAATATTGCGAAGAAAATACAGAAATGAATATTAAAACATTGCTGTTAATAGAGGCATAAGAAAAGCTGAAAATGAACTTTAAAAATTGCTGAAAATACAGAAATCTGAAAATGTACCAGCAAGTTGAAAACCTGAAATTAATTTAAAAAATGCTCATGAAAGTACCAGCAAGCTCAAAGATGAAATTAAGTTACATTTTTGAAAATATTGAAATTTCCAATGGCTTTGCTGAAAAAGTGTCAATGCCGAAAAGTCAAGACCAGCACAGCAGAAAAACATAATATTTGAATTTCAAAATTGGCAGTGTGGAAGATGAACTGCAGCATTTAACAAAGCTGAGAGCTAAAATACAACACAAAAGAAGCCAAAAGCTTGAAGAAGTGAAACTGAACTGAAATCTAGCATCAGAATCAGCATAAATAGCATTCAGGAATAATATTAGCAATACTAGAAAATGCATTTACTGCTGAAAATGCGTTGGAATGCAAAAAGCTGAAAGCTGAAATGAATTTTTAAAAATAGCTGAAATTACAGAAAGTTGAAGGGAATTTGAATACATTTGCTGAAATTACAGATATTAGAAAAGCTGAAATTCATTTGAAATTGCTGAAAATACAGAAATGGGAGAAGCTGAAAGGAATTTCAATAGATTTGCTGAAAAAGCAGAAATGAAAACAGCTGAAATAAATGTGAAATATTGCAAAACAAAACAGAAGTTGCAGGAGCTTAAATGAATTTTAAAAAGTACAGAAATAACAAAAGCTGAGACGAATAAAAAGAGGTTTAAAGTTGTTTGTAGTAATATTAGTAGTAGTATTAGTTATAGTTGTTTTTAATCTTGCAGTATTAAAGTAAATATACCGCATTTTCCGCACTCCAAGGCGCACTTAAAAGGCTTTAATTTCCTCAAAAAACGACAGTGCTTTATAATCCGGAGCGCCATATGGATCAATTGGTTAATCGGTTGATCCATACTGGTTGTACACGGCGCTCAAGGCGCTCTGCCAAACATGCCAAAGCTAGTCTACGACGGCGAGATGCTGAGCGGCGCTCAAGCGCGTGAGATTTGGAGCTTGTTTCAAGGCGCCGGAGAAACAAAGCTGTCGTTCTCGCCGAGCACTTCATGAGATTAAAGAGCGAGAGACGGTGCCCTTTTCTCTACAGTAGCTGAACCATCTTAACGGGGAAAATAAGTTATTCTAAAAGCAGCCGAAGATTTAAGGCGTGGATGGCGAGGGGGCGGCGGGAGCGGACGCACCTCGCGGCATCGACCGGACCCTGGAAGCACCGTCTCCACCTTACTGTCAAAAAGAACAACAGCGAGCGCGTAGAAAACTCCTTCAAGCGCGAGCAGAGATTCTCCTCGCGAGCAACAAAGTTCACGTTTCGCAAGCGAGCAAATACCTCGCGGAGACGGACTTTTGCTCGCGGATGTTTGATTTTGGTTAAATTCTTAAGGTCATTTAATCATTGGATCAGAGTTGTGTTTAAAGGTTTGGGTGGGCCGCGAAAGATTTTCAGATTTCAAAGTGGGCCGCGGCATTCTTGAGTTTGGGAACCGCTGCTGTAGACACTGCAGTTGCAGCAACAGTTGCAGTAGATACACTGGCACCTTCATTACTATCAGGTTCACTTTCTTGTATTTTGTCTTCCAATTGCACTAAAGAATGGACAGTTCTCATGTGCCTGTGCAGGTTGTTTGTGGAGCCAGCTCGATTGGGGTGGGGTGCGGAGATTTTAGTCTTGCAGACTCTACATTCTGCCTTAGGTCAATGTAATTGAAATGTGTCCAGATTTAGCTGGGTTTCCTGTTGACACTCATTTTCTTAACTCTCTTTTTTTACATTTCCGTTGCTCTCTTTCTCTCTTGTGACTCGCCTCCCTGTTTGTGTGCTTGTTGTGTGCTGTGCTGCTGTGTGTGTAAGTCCCGCCCCTCCCCCCTGTGCTCAGCGCGGCACAGAGACGCCACCACACATATTGACCGATAAAATGC